GGTTGACTGCCAAAACAAGCTGTTGAAGTTGAGGGCTTAGGTCCATGACAGGGACATTGTTGAGCAGGGCAACTTGATCACTCAAGTCCCTCAGGTTGTCTGCTGCAGCTGTCAACGATGCACTCATGAGAGCAGGGTTGGGTTGAGTGGCCAGTTCAGCCATGGTGGTGGTGGTTCAAAGGCAAAAGCAGTGGGTAATCAAATATAAACAACTTCCGTGACATCTGGCACATGCTAGCATTACAACGCATTCAAGGTGAGTAGCGAGCAAGATGAATTTGAATCTCGATTGAGCTCCGAGGAGAGGAGCAGTATCGGTCCCAGTCAATTATCCACACCGTACCTTCAAGACAAGGGCAAGTGAGCCAACTGAGTAGTAAACAGGACAGATCAAGGATTTGCGGGACACAAGTCGATGGGAAGTAGAGCAAGCGCAGCACAAAGAGCCAAAATCAACGGCTTTCAACCGGTGGCCCAGATATACGTGTTCGCCAAGCACAGCGTTCGTTGCGGCCGAGCCGTATTCGTCCGGTCCAAAGTAGGCGCGATACAAATGAGCAGAGCGACGCTATCCAGGCATTCATGTATCGTCAGAAGTCGAATCACGAAGCAAGAATGCGAGTGAGTGACACCGTAGCTCGGGTCTTGCATGCGACACTCGAATGGATGGTAACACGACATGCGATTGAAGAACAGTTTATTTTTGTCTAGGAGGGATTACTGGATCCGACTGTCAAGGGCGGGGAGGAGAGGAAAGAAAGTGGATCTCAGCAGGATGCACACCGGGACAGAGAGGGGATAGTCCACGCACCGTTTGCCCTCGGTTATGTCCCGTCAAGTGGTAGTCCCGCGCCATCATCATCTCGTCCCACGCCTCCAAACCGTACCGCGGAGGCTAGATTATCAAGAGAGTGGAGAAGCGCTAGCGTCAGCGAACGAGTCGGCGGAACCCGGGTGCGGGTGCGCTGCTGTCACACACCTTCCAGAGGTTCTGCGCGCGGAAGGTGACATTCGCCAGCGTGCCGGTCACGCCGAACATGGTGACGAGGAGACCTAGAGGGGGATAGCGGAGTCAGTTGCGCGGTGGACGGGTCACTGGAGAGGAGGGTAGAGACCGGTTGGGATCAAGGCTTCCCAGGGAATCGGCATGAGGGTTTGGATTCAAGTTCAGTGTGGCCGTGTTGTGTGGAAGAGACGATCACGTCAGATCGGTTGTGTCATCGCCGACCTTGAAGTAAGTACTGACTACCGACTGACTACGTACAAGAATCTACTTGACAAGCGCAAGAATCCGAGAAGATGCACAGAGAGAGGCCTTGATATTTTCCACGGAGAAACAGGGCCACAACACTCGACATGATCTTGTCTGGAGAATAGCAGGGATCAGGCGGACAGCAAACGGGAAATCCTGAGACCCTATCAGGCCCATTATACGCAAGGTTTAACCGGGACCCATCCTCAGCCGTATCGTGCACAGACATTGAACCAGTGGGACGCATGCAAAGACAGTCGAAGTTTCTTCGTCCAACCGTCCGGTCGCTGAACACTGGTCGGCATCCATTGATTCCACATTCCTTCGTGTGGAGAAGCGAGATGTCACGAGTGCCCTGAGAGGGCAGATCGAAATCCTTCATGGACAGCGAAATCAACGACGAATCGCCGCGGTACGGGACCACGAAGTGGCCCTTCAAGGAGCGAGTGGAAAAGTTCGCCGGGCGCTCCTTACGAAGGTGTAGCGAGAACGAGCCCGGAGCCCAGGTCGCATGTTGGTAGAGAGACACCACGAAAGACATTACTGCTCGTCGAGGGTCAAGAGTCTTGAATGAGATGCCAGGGGCAGTTGTCCCACCGAGGAGAAGATCTACGGATTTCCGGGAGGGACCTGGATTCCAGGCAAGTCTAATCCCAAAGAGAACTCGGGAGTGCAAGACATTGGGGTCGGACGGTTGTGCTCGACGCCCCAAACAGACTAAACGCTCCGACGAGTAGCCGACCATATATGAACCGCATAAGGCAGATTGCGCATGGTGTCCGCCCGCACGAGCGATTCACAGTGCACTGGAAATCCGGATGGGAGTTGGGAAGACGCGCAGCCGGGTCGGGTACATGCGTCTTCAGGTACCGACGGACAACGTGTCGCAGGCAGTGAAACGGTGCAATACGCGGAGACAGCGTGTATCATTTGCGAGCCTCGACCTGTGGCGTGCATCGTCGGCATCGCTAGAGCTCTAGCGGAGTCGAGCGTGTTTTTGGTCGCTTACGGCTACATTTTGTAGCCGACTCAGCACGGCGCTACCCAAGGACTCTTCGATGGGAAATCCGTCAGCAGCGTTGAGCTGAAGTGGATCGATTAGACAGAGTTGAATGTCGGATGCTGGAATCTCCGAACGGACAGGTCCTCCTCGGAACAACCACAATGATCGACAGATGGAGCGCTGCAAGTACGATCAGTCAAGTTATTTCTATCTGCTGGACCCACAACGACTGTGACATCATCAACTCTCCGTCAGCAACACTCAAGCACTCAGACCCCGCAGTACCTCAATAAAAAGGAGTCTATTGGAGATTCGCCGTGTTTATACATAAGATGCAGATACTATGCCTGAATGGTGCGTGGGTGCTTAAGTGTACAAATGAAGTGAACGGCGTTCATAATCATCTCTTCGTCCCCGCCGCGTTGCGACCAGCGCGACCAGCAGCAGTCTCTGACGACGCAATAACAGACTTGGGATCGGATGCTTTGGATTTGATGGCGGCCCCAGCAGCCAGTCGTGTGGACGCCCGGGCGCCAGCGAGATCTGTCGTCTGCGATCGAGGAGCGACACGCAGTTTTCCGGTGACTGAGGTCTGAGCCGGCGGCTCTCGTGCGTTCTGACGGGTCGTGCGTCGGGGCTGGATCCGGCTGGGTGCAGAAGCAACTCGCCTGCGTTTGACGTACGGCGCCAAGGGCTCACTCTCGTCCGCTCCGTCCTCATCCATCCCCACCTCTGAAGCGGTAGCTGAACTGTCGTCTGCGAAAGGTGGCGAGGCAACAGGAACGACGACTTCCGAGTCAGTGAGTGCGATGTCTTTTGCGATGGGAGATTTCTGGTCCTCTGAAGAGGCAAAGGGCTCGCGGGAACGTTTGCGTCCTGCGAAAGGTGGTGTGTCGTCAGACACAGATGACGTCTCCGACGACAATCGGGACATCAAAGAGGGCATCGCGTTGAGGGGAATCATCGTCGTCGTCTTGGCCGCCGCAGCCTTGGATCGAGTGACCCTTACTGTGTCTGGCACAGCCAGGGCGCCGGGAGTCTGCAGAGTGACATTGAACGCATCTTCTTCGTCGTCATCTTCCTCCATGAGATCTTCCAACGGTGCACTTTTCGGCGAGCCGCCGTGTTGATCGTGAGTTTCTGGGGTGGGTTTATCGTCGCTCACGTCTCTTGTTGCATGACCGAAACTCGGGGAATCATGCAGAGACGGGAGCGACTGGTAAAAACCCTGCATGACAGGATACATCGGCTCTTCTTCCTCTTCCTGGATGGGAGCAAACGACGTCAGGGAGACAGTCGAGACGGAAGGCAGCGTTCGATACGTTGAGGGCGCCAAGGGAGTCGGAGGATAAGCGGACGGGAAGGCTGGGTACTGTCTCCATTCCTCGTGCTGCTCGCGGGATTTTCGCTCCGAGTCCGTCTCGACATACGACAGCGACGAGCCCGGATAGTCCTCGTCTTCATCGTGATACGCGGCCGGCGGAGGATGCCATATCTGATGAGCCATCACCGGCGGGGTCATAGTCGCGCCGCTCCCGACCTCCGCGTAAGCTGGAGGAGATGGCGAATACTGCTCAGGAGCACCTCCGAAGGCGGGATCCCGAATATGACCTATCGAGCGCCGACGGGCGCCGTTGATCGGGATCTGCGATGACACCGATTGAAGCGCGTGCTGCACCTCGGCGTACAATCCGCCATGGTGCTGTTCGTCCGAGTCTGCCGAGCCCTCTGTGCTGTGGAAAAGATGGTGCCACCAGTCTGAGGCGAGTCGGAGAGGGTAGGTTGACACAACGAAGATGATATCACCGAACATCCGCACGACATCAAAGACCGTGTCCAGCGTCGACGTGTACGGCTTGAGCAGCGGCCGGATGAAGTGCAGGTATATAGGCTCGGCGCCCTGGAACATCGGGTTAGAGAAGAGGCGCCGAGACGAGTCGGCCCACGCACCCTGGCTCTCGTGAGAATGAGGAACAGGATAGCGAGGGACTTGAATTCATCGTAGAATGGGACGAAGAGCGAGACCACGCCCTCCGCCAGGCGCTCATACATCATGAAGCAGAGCTAATGATTGGCTTATGAGTTAATATGAAGACCTCACCCTCACTACGAGGCACGCACCCAAACAATCCAAACCGCCAAACATCCTTTCATATTCCTCTTCCGCTGCACGAGGGAGCGCTGCGAGGGCAGCCCGTCGGAGCTGCGGCGGGAAATAGGTATTTTGAGGACTTTGAACGTGTCGTACACGTTCAAGAGTACCATTGTGAGGCGCAGGACGAGCATGAAGAGTGGCATCGGTGAGAGGGTCGTGGGAATAAGATGGATTCAGGAAGAGATGACGGGAGGTGAATGTATTTCAGGTGAGAGACGGGAGATAGGTAATTAGGCAATGTGAAGCCGTGATAATGGATGTGGGAGGAGCATGGGCTAGTGCACGGTGCAGGACGGTCTGAACTAGCGTCACGCTGTATTTGCCTACTTGATCGATGCCAAACAAAGGAAACTACTCCTGCTCGCTTAGAAAGGAAGTTTATAAGCCAGGTGAGGTCAGATCCCACAGCCATCCCGGTAAGAAAAACTGACACGAGAAACAAGTCTTATCACATTTTTCTACAGTCAATGTCAGTATCCAGAAGGCTACCTGTAGATGATTGTCAGCCGCGTTAGTATATCCTTTAGCCCTCGACGTCCTGCCATGGCCGTATGGTCTAGAAGCATGATTCCTGCTTTGGGTTCAGACGACTCAGTTGTCTAACGTTCATCTGCAGGAGGTCGGGGGTTCAATTCCCTCTGCGGCCCGTTTTGTTTTCGGAGTGTCTCATGGTAATTGTCTTGTTCCGATTGAGCGTGCTTTGTATCTACGCCTCACTCATTATTCTGACCTTAAGCGCCCCCCCCCCCCCAAGTTTCAAGACTTTTCCCCCAACAGTGGGAATTTCCTGTATGCAATACGGGGATCCATAACTGCGAGAACTCATGAGCTGCCGCGATTTTGGTATATGATGTTCAAGGATGTCATTGCACTATCAAGCTGCTGTCTATTCACATCTATTACCTAGGGGCTGATCAGCACTGAATGTGATGGAGAGAACAGAGCATGCACAGATTGCCTAGGTAATGGCACACGATCATCAGCCATTTCGTTGCATTCGAGCCTCAAGGTTGTCTTTGACGCGCTCGAACCACTCTTCTGCGAGGATGCTGTACACACAGACATCCGTGTATCCCCCACATTTGATATCAGACCAAGCGGCGCGTCTGGTCCCTTCGAGCACGGCACCAGCCTTCTCCAGCCATCCCCGCATCCCCGGATTGTCCACCGACGTCTGGAACTGCGCGCGATGGAGCATTCTCTCCTCGAACGCATACACCAGGACTGTATGCAGCGCGTCCGTCGCGAAGCCACCGCGGAACAGGTCGGGGCTGATGAGGATCCCGACCTCGCACGACCTGCCGTTGTCGTCGATAGCGAAGATGCCCGTTGTGCCGGCAAACACGGAGTACAGCCCCGTCGTCGGATCCTGTGCGTAGACGTTGAAGTCGACCAGCGATGGATCGGGGTGGCGGGACAGCCGGCGCGTGCGCGCATCGGCGGTCGTGGTCTCGTCAGGCCAGAACCGGAGGTACTTTTTCGTGTCTGAGTGTGAGCGGAGGACAGCCGTGAACTCGTCATCCGCCTCTGAAGGGGGAACCAGGGCCGTTCGGCCGGTTTTCGATGGGATCGTGCGGTCGAGGATCATGGTGGGAGAGAAAGAAGAGAATGAGCTCGAGCGATGGAACGAGCCAACTGCATGGTTGTTTGTTGCTTGGCTTCTCCTCGCCCTGACTCGACTGGCTGGCGTCGGAGTTGGTCTCTGATGCAGACTTGGAGGAGGTGGCAGTGCCTGTCAACAACGCGTTGATCAACCCTCCAGTTGACCACCACCCACGATGCCGAAGATCAAGACGACGAGGACAAAGCGGCCGCCAGAGGGGTTTGAGGAGATTGAGGCCGTACGCATTATCATTCGCATCCTTTTTTTTCCTCCTGATAATGCTCCAGATCCTGGACGACTACGCCAAGAAGATGCGCGATGCTGAAAACGAGTCACACGAAGGCAAACGCAAAGCCGAATCTCTCTGGCCCATCATGCGTATCTCTCACACGCGTTCACGCTATATCTACGAGCTCTACTACAAGCGGGAAGCGATCTCCAGAGAGTTGTATGACTGGCTGCTAAAGGAAGGTTATGCTGACGCAAAGTGCGTGTCACGTTCAAGCCTCCGGGTCTGTCCCCTCACATCCGTCTTTATAAAAAGCCTGGTCGCCAAGTGGAAGAAGTCGGGGTATGAAAAGCTGTGTTGTCTGCGTTGCATTCAGACCAAGGTACCGTCGACCCGGTCCACTTTAGCTCCGTTTCGTGACATATATTCAGGACATGAACTACCAAGGCTCTACATGCGTCTGTCGAGTTCCGAAAGCGCAGTTGCGTGCAGGTACCATCGTTGAATGCGTGCATTGTGGTATGTTGTTCTGACATCCCCTTGGGCCATATTCTCAGTCCACATGTTCCAAGGATGTCGAGGATGTAGCTCCGATTCATGACACAGACGGCGTTCCTACGCTCTAACCATACTCGTATGGCTTGCATCTTCTGGCTACTAGTGCTGTTGCTGGACCGGATGGGGATCGGGCAGACCCTCTTGGCGGCTTAGTGTATGATATGTTCTGTAAACCATATCTTCGACCACTCGCTGTGTAGCTAATTTCCCAGCATCGAAAGTGTGTGTGTTGGTCACGGGCAGGCACACTATTTACATATTGACAACCGATCCGCAGCCCCACTTTGTTGTGGCGGAGTGATCGGAACGTCGCTTGGCGCGGGTCTGTGTTTAAAACACTCGCCCAACAATTTGATGGTCACTCCTCTCCCTCTCTGCGCACAGCTCCGTCATGGGTTTGCTGGCCGAGCAAGTAGTTCATGTCGCGAGAAGTCTCACTGCCAGGGCGGCGGCCCCGCAACAGGTCTGTCCCACGAGTACTCTTCCCGCCGTTCGCGCCTGACGCGCCTAGGCTGGCGTTCTTTCTGGCGCAAATCCCGCAGCCTGGGACGCGGCTGACCCCATCAAGCTCTGGGTCATCCAAGTTAGTGCGTAGCGTCTCTCAGTCGTCCGATGCAGCACGCTCATCGTCTGTCGCAGTCATCATCACGGGCATGACTCAGATCCTGGCGCTCATTTTCGGACGGATCCGTCAGCCGCGGGTCATCGCAGAGGTCATTGGCGGAGTCATCCTCGGGCCGTCCATCATGGGCCGCATTCCTGGATTCTCCAAGACGATATTCAACACGAACTCGATGCCCCTGCTCACGCTCACCGGAAACATCGGACTCGTGTTCTTTCTGTTCCTTATCGGGCTCGAGATTGACGTCCGGCTGGTGAAGAAGAATGCGCGTGTCTCCGCTGCCGTGTCGCTCGCGGGTCTGCTTGTCCCATTGGGCCTGGGTGCTGCGCTTGGCGTGGGCGTGTACCGCGAATTCACGAACCACACCGTCAATTTCGGATACTTCATCCTGTTCGTCGCTGTCGCCGTAGGGATCACCGCTTTCCCTGTACTCTGTCGCATCCTCACGGAACTCAAACTACTCGATACGCCCGTTGGAGCGATCGTTCTCGCTGCCGGAGTGGGCAACGACGTCGTCGGCTGGATCCTGCTCGCGCTGACAGTCGCCTTGGTGAATGCGTCGACGGGATTGACCGCGTTGTACGTCCTGCTCGCTAGCGCAGGATTCGTGCTGTTCCTGCTTTTCCCTATCAAGTGGGCTTATCTCGCGCTTGCAAAGCGGACGGGCAGTTTGGAGCAGGGGTCGCCGACAACCACAATGATGACCATAACGTTGATCATGACGCTGTTTTCGGCCTTTTTCACCGACATTATCGGCGTCCATGCCATCTTCGGTGGATTCCTGGCAGGTTTGGTCATCCCGCACGAGAACGGGTACGCGATCTCGATGGTGGAGAAGATGGAGGACTTTGTGGCCATTTTGTTCTTGCCGATCGTGAGTGAGAACTTTTGGACTTTTGGACGCTCATTCATTTCCGGCCCAGTACTTTACCTTGTCTGGGCTGAGAACCAATCTTGGCCTGCTCAACGACGGGATCACATGGGGATACATCGTCATTATCTGCTGTGTCGCCTTCTTCTCCAAGTTCATCGCTTGCGGGCTCACTGCGTATGCGGCCGGGATGTCATGGCGGGAATCTGGTGCGATTGGGTCTCTCATGAGTTGCAAAGGGTCTGTCTTCTTGTGCACCAGTTCTGCCTATTATGCTCACTTCCACGCAGTCTCGTGGAGTTGATCGTGCTGAACGTTGGCTACACGGCCGGGATCTTGGATCAGCGGACGTTCTCGATGTTCGTGCTGCATGCGATTATCTTGACTGTCATGACCACTCCCCTGACAATATTCTTCTACCCGGAGCACGCACAGACTCACGAAGGATCGTACCGGACACCTGTCAAGACCGATGCCGAGTCTCCACGATCTGCACCGGCTGACGAACAGCTCAAGACCAGGTTCTCCATCGTGCTGGAAAAGATTGAGCAGCTGCCCGCGGCCATGGCCATCTCGCAGCTTCTGCAACCGGTAGCGCACTCTCCTCCGTCCTACGTGTCGAGCGTTGCCGAGGAAAAAGCGGTCGAGGCACATGGCATATCTCCTATTCCGGGGGCAAACGTCAGCATCGACGCGCTGCGCCTTATCGAGCTGACGAACCGAACGTCGGCTGTCTTGCGATCGCAAGAATCCGATCATCTCCTGCACAACGACCCCATCCTGTCGATCTTCCGAACCTTCGGGACGCTCAATCGCCTTTCCGTATCTGCGGCATTGTCCGTCGTGAACTATGATGAGTTCCCTGATGCGATCGCGCAGCATGCCCGGAACGCCGACTCGCAGATGGTTATCCTGCCGTGGGCGCGGGGGGCGACGTACGAGGAGGACGGCGCGAAGAATCCGTTCGACGGGGTATTTAATCGATCGGGATCGCAGGACCAGACGAGCTCTGTCGTGTACTCTGAGTTCATCCGCAAGGCGTTCTTGCACTCGCCCACCGACGTTGCTCTGTTTGTTGATCGTGGATTGAGCTCGGGTGCCCCCGGCGATCATTTCCTCCTACTTCCGTTCCTGGGCGGGCCCGATGACCGGCTGGCGCTGTCATTTTTGGTCCAGTTGTGCGCCAACTCGAATGTGCAGGGCAAGGTTGTGTGGATCTCCAAGATGGAAGGCGGATCGTTCGTTGCTGGCGGTGAAGCCACACATGCGGTACGTTATCGCGCTCTCTATGATCATAAGCTGTTGTCACTCATTTGAATCTCTAGACGATGGCTGCTGCGGACACCGTCTACGGCCCGCACACGACCCAGACGCGGATCGTGTCAGACACCGCCGACAACGTGCTTTGGGAGCGTTTCTCCGCCTCGCCCCGCCTGATCTTTTCGAAAGAATCGAGTCCCCGGCCCCTCGCTCGCATCGCGGAACTGGTGCAGGCTGAGATCGCCGTGCGCTCGAACGCGATCGTTTTGCTCGGGCGGTCCCGCCGGATGGCGGTGGAATCGCACGCAGCTGAGCTCCAGGCATTGACCAGCAGTAAGGGCGCCGTCGTCGGCTCGTCTGTTGCCAAAACTCTGGGAGACGTCGGCGCCGCTCTTGTGGCTTCGGGAACGTCCGCCAGTCTTTTGGTTCTGCAGGCTGCGGTGGCTTCGAATTGATGAGGGTGAACAAGATAAGACGAGGATAACGATGTTGATGATTATGATACCTGAGCATCACTAGTACGATCTATTCCACGGTTCCATTATTGTAAATTATGTACACCCCCTAGGCAATGCGAATCGCGTAACGAGATATCTGCTTCGATCGTCTTACGGGGTCAGCTACATAGATATACTTCCTCCCCGCAGGTACATTTGTCGACGATGCCTGGGCTCTGGGAGACCATCGAGCCTTGGACCCCCAGACGTCGGCTGCTCAGGTCTTATTGACTGACTGGCGTTAAATTTCATGATCATTAAGTAGAGTCCAATCTCCAAAATCCCTATTCTATTACCGTAGTAGGAAAGCGATCACCTAGGCAGCCGAGCCCCATCTGCATCCGACTCCGGATGCATCAGCTCAAACTTGGCTCCATTGTTCAGAGCGATCGACGAGGGATCCACTGCAGGTTGTGACTGGACCATCCGATCGCGCACGAGAGCAACGACACCAGCCGGATCCTCGTTCTCGCTCAGCAGTGCAGGGAAATCTTCCCGCTGTTTCGCAAGAAGCGAGTCGCGCTGGAAGACATGGAGCAGGCCGATGGGCGACAAGGGTCGGCGGCCTGCCCAGTTCATGAGCAAGAAACTTTGCATCGAAGTCACGAATAGACTCACCGAGCCCAAAGTGCAGAATCCCAGCCCCGAAGAACAGCGCGAACAGGCCGTTGGCAAAGACCCACATGCCGCCCGCCAGACCGATCCCGCCCAGCGCTGAATAGTCGCGGTGGTCTTCAGAGTACGACATGACGTATGGGTAGGGCTGCAGCAGTGTCAGCTGTGCGGTGCGCGGATTCGTGATGGCGGGGTCGGCGGTGAGATTCTGCTGCAGAGCCGTGATCGTTGGGAAGAACCCGTACGTATAGCGGTTTCTCTTTGGTGTATACTCAATCAACACAGGATAGTTATCCAGCATAGGACTCACGAAAGAAATGCCACCCATGGTCCAGTCTGGTCCCTGCAGAATCTTGCGCTGGGACCAGGATAGCACGCCGACGAGTCGAGAGCCGGGCAAGAGCACTGGATTGACAGGCAGAGCCGGATAGATCATCACGTCTTCAGAATAAGAGGTCGAGATGAGCTGAATGTAGACGGAAGAGACGTTGCTCGGGAAATCCATCGAGAATGTGACGTTCGACAGCTCGTCCCACGACTGAGGACCTGGTTTCATCCGTCAGCTTGAGAGCGAGAAGAGAACGAAGGGAAGCTACATTGGACCCCGTACGTATAATCTCCCGTTTGGCAGCCATCCGTCGTCTGTTTCCCCGCCGTGAACAACTGGAAACCCGCACGCACGGACACGTTGGCCAGCGGCCCATTCCCGGAATCAGAACTGTAGGCGAAACCGAATCCACGAGGAAAAGGACGCAAATCCGACACGATGGTGGATGCGAACAACCCCTGGGACGGGCTCACAGGCACGGTCCGGGTGTGTGTCGACGAGAAGGGCATGAAGAAGATGGCGTAGATCATGAATCCTGGGATGAAGACCGCGAGCGCACAGAGGGCGATGGTGCGCAGGACGATGGTCACGACCCACTCGCCCCGCATGAGGGGCCGGATCGCAGCTGGGCTGAACAAGATTGCCAGTGGACCGCCGCGCGGCTGACTCGGCGCACAACCGCCTAGGAACGCGAAGCGCTGTTTGAAGAAGCGTTCCTTCCCGCGAACGATGCTGGCAATCCGGAACATAAACGTGAAGAACAGCACGATCAGGCACGGAAGTACGGCGAGGCCCATGAAGATGAACAGGAAGATAGCCACTGATCGGGCCCAATGTCAGTGAGATCCAATGTCTGATACAAGCCAGCCGTGACGCACTTCCCAACTCTCCCAGAACCAACAGGATGTCGAGCAGTGCGGCGCCAGGGAAAGACCAACTAATCAGACTACGTCCCGAAGAGTCAGAGGCGCAGACGGCCAGATCAATGGTATCGACTCACGCGGTGCAATGGTGAACGAGGGTGAAGCAGGCCACGGGGATGAAACAGATAAAGAGAAACAGGCCGCCATCGTCGCCCCAGTCAACCATGTTCAGACCATCGCATACCCCGAGTATCAGCGGCGTGATGATTTGCGAAAGAATAAGCAGGCGGAGCGCATATATCCGCAAGGTGGGATTGAAGAAAACGGCGTTGGCGAAAGTCATGACAAGGTAGGGCTGTTGAAAGTTTCATTCGGAAGCCGAGTACTTATTGCGGGATAGTGCCAAGAGATGGCTGAGGCTATGCGCACTGGCGAGATCGTGACCAGGGGATGAAACTCATACAGAGTACGATCATGTGCATCTGACCGAGGCTGAAATTTTGCTGTAAGCAGGTCGTGGACGTGTCGGTAATCGCACACAGTGGGCTCAGGCATTCAGCAAGCACAGCCTCTCCAAGGGGAAGATCTACACGTGACCAATTCCTTGCCTAAAACTTCCCTCTACCTCCTTTACGCGCTGGTCTTCCGTGCCCGTCATGCTTTGAGTCTGCGATGAACTGGGGGATCTGGAGGGCTAAGAAGTTCCGTTCGGGGGCCGATCATATACTGTGGGGCGGTGTCAAGATACGTCTAGGGCTGTAATTGCTATTCATATCACGGGCAGAACAGACCTTGAAGTGTGGCCCGTGGAACACGGACATACATCAGCAGGTAATTGTTTGTGCCAGACGCACTCCAGAGCACGAGGTTAATCTCACTAAGACATGCCCTGCAAGCAAGCACGCTTGTGTCCCGAGTCCCGAGTCCTGATCCGACTCTGAGGTAAGGTATGCGGCATTTGATTCCAGCACGGGTGACTAAGCATCACACAATCACAACGTGTGACCAAACGGCGACGGAGAATCACAACAGCCACAAGAAAAAAATAAGGAATCTACTCACACAGAGTGTTCTAGGAGAGCCTTAGGATACTTTCTCTGCAAGCAGAATTTCAATATCTATCCTGCAGGCAGCATGATCTTGGGCTGGCATATTTCCCATCAAAAAGTTCCTCTTGTTGTATAACATGTTTTCGCACAGAATGCAGCATTTTCCATTTTTCGGGTCCAAAATTTGACCCCATCACGTGACATCCCAATTGTTGATCAAATGATGATCTTATCATCTGCCAGATGGATGTCGTGATACACATCTTATGACTCCATCACGTGTCATCTAGAGTCATGTCGACTCGTCCTAAATAGACACAAATAGCCCCCTGTATTGTATATAAGGAGGGCTCTATTACCCTATAATCCAAGTCTCTTGACTACTCCCGCATAGTGCCCACACTAAGCTCTCACTCACACAGGTGAGCTGCTAGACACTCTCCCCAGTGCTCAACAGGTTATGGGCCCCGAGAGCTATGTCTGCGCCTCAATGGCCGCGACATTCATTGTATGCGCCGTCACTGGCTGCAACGATGAGCAGCGTCTTTAGCCTATCTGTATTCACTTCAGCTGCTGCACAGCGCTGGTGAAACCATGCCGGATCGCGATTACATCGTTTGATCCAGATGCATCGATCTCTCAAGGAGATTATGATCTATGAGAATCTGATCATCTTGATCTTTGATTTTATCTATCAGATTAGATTGATGCTGATTAACTCACACAGATCAATATGTCGTCCAACTCCAACAACATCTTCAATGCTGTCTCCATCTTTGATGGAAAGCACTGGCTCGTATGGTCCGGAACTATGGAGTCCTACCTGGAACATCAGGGGATCTCATATGTGCTGACCGAAACGGCGCCAACTGAAGTCAAAGCTACCGATAACATTCCTCCTGCGGATATAGTGTCAGCTGCCAAGATCTGGGCGCATCTGAAGACCCAATACGGTGGTGCTCAGTGCGCCGACCTATATGCGTACTTCCAAACCGCGTTGAACGCCAAGTACAACGTGGGGTTGCACCCGGATCCACAGCTGCTGGTGATCACTACGGCGTTCGCTCGCCTGGAGAATGAGTCTTTGAGCATCCCTGAGTTCCTCAGAGCGATGATCATTCTCAACATAGCCCGGATTCCCTCCGTCACAGAGACTGTTCTCCAGACCTATGAAAAGGACAAGATCAAAGTCTCGGCGGTTCGTGACGCTCTCTTGACACATTTCGCTCAGAAGCAGTCTCAAAGCCAGAATCATGTGGCCAAGTTCAATACCAAGCGCAAGCGCGATGACCCTTCGTTCACCAATCAGCAACAGGGCTCTGGCTCTGCACCCGATAAGGGTGATAAGGCTGATGGAAAGAAGAAGAACCGTCGAGGCAAGCGCAGTGGGAAGAACAAGGACAACAAGGGCAAGGGCAAGGCTGATCACAGTCATGTCCATGGAGTCTCCGAGATCACTGGCTCCCTCACTATTGGTTCGATCGCCTCGCTCACTCCGTCTATCCCTGCGCCGACGATCTCGCATGTCACGCACATCTCTCGCGATGGACCGACCCAAAATCCGCGCGGTTCAAGAGAAGTCTCCCGTTAACAACAATGGGATGATTGACACCGAGTTCCAGAAGCCTACTCGTAAGGTCTTCGAGCTGGCCAAGAAGATGGATGTGACGGTAACCGCAGAACGCTTCCGGACTCTCGACAAGATCGTCAATGAGAAAGGAATGCTCCGCGAGGACGCAATCATGCGTTCTCCATCTCCGGTTGCTTCCGGCTCAAATCACACGCTGGATGGTGGTCCTCCTGCCAAACGCAGTCGTATCGAGGAGATCCCCGACGTCGAGATGGCCACCAGCCAACAGAACGATCTTGATCTTCTGTTTGGAGATAGCGAGTTCGCCCAGGCTGAACCCGTCAATTGGGATGAGGTCGTCGACTTCAACGCCCTTATGAAGGAGATGGACGCTCCTTCCGCCGAAAGGCAAGTACCCTGCCTTCTTGGGCACATGCACAATTCTGATTGTTGCTCACAGCCAGAGCGCGTAATCACCGCCGCCCCGGGTTCTGTACTAAATTCGTTGATGATACGTTCACATGATTTTTGTACCAATCTATTCTGTGTGCACTCCGATTTTGCTGCCTGCTCTAAGTGTAAGGGGAAACATCATCATCATCATGAATTAGGGCCTCTGTGGCTTCTTGATTCAGGTGCATCTCTCCATGTGACATCGGAGATTAGTGATCTGGTCGGATATGAGAAACTCTCAGATCCTATTGTTGCTCAGACCGCTGATAAGAACACACGTGTTGCCCTTATTGGTCGAGGAACAGCCTTCATCGATCATTACGTCACAAGGCATGGAGAAAAGACAATGGTGACTTCTCAGATATATCCAGTGTACCTAGTGCCAGGATTACATGGTCGTCTCATGTCTTTGGGCTCCTTACTCAAAGGAGGATCTCGCGTTCGTGGAGACGAATCGCGGATCAGCTTACATCGAGGGAAGTCCCCACTCTCGATCATGGAGTTTAGAACTCTAGGGAAGGACATTGCCTTGTACTTCCTGATGTCAAAGCCTAGCATGGCTTAGGCAGTGCGATCCATGTCCACTGTTTACAAGGTGGATTATGAGATCATGCACCGGCAATTTGCACATCCGTCGAAAGACGTTTTACGTCAGGCAAAGAAGAATACCAAGGGCTTTCCAGAAGACCTAGTATTTCCCGAGGAAACCCGACCGTGTAAAGGATGCGCGCAAGGGAAAATGCACCAACGTGCCTTCCCGCCTTCCGAAAAACGAGCGGAGAATCCGTTTGATTTGATCCACTCGGATCTCAAACAATTTCCCACGGTGTCTTATCACAAGTACCGCTACTTCATGAGCTTCTTCAACGAAGCACTCTCCTATGGCTGGACAGTATGCCTTGCGCAGAAATCCGATGCCAAGCAGGCTATCCACAATTTCATTGCGATGATCAAAAACCAGTTCAATGTCACCATCAAAAAGTGGCATATTGACAATGGGGGAGAATTCATGGGGATGGGAATGGAAGAATTTCTCGCGGAACAAGGAATTCTAGTGGAGAAGGGTGCTCCATATGCTCACCAGCAGAATGGGCATGCCGAGCGCTTCAATCGTACGATCATGGATAAGGCAGAAGCCATGCGCTTCACTGCCTGTCTTCCTAATTCTTATTGGGAATTCACTATTAAACATGCGACACGGATCTACAATATGACACCTATCAGGCGTCTAAAATGGAAAACTCCATTTGAAGCTCTTCACAAGGAAAAACCGGATGTTTCCGAACTCCGAGTCTTTGGTTGCGCTGCATATGTCTTTATCCCTGATGAGAAGCGCGCCAACAAGTTATCGCCCAAATCGGAGCTGATGACCTACTTGGGCATTCCTGATGGTGTGAAAGGATTTTTGTTCATGCGCACAAACAATTCCACGTTCGTCGCCACCAAGGCATTGTTTGACAAGGAGTTGTTCCCCCGCTGTCCTGACAGCAATCGACCACCCCACGTTCCTGTTGGAGAGGAATTTCCAGAACGTGATGACCCAGCGAATCCACAAGATCCACCACAGGTAGACGGAGAAGATTGGCTATATGGAGATAATCCTTTTCCATTTCCCATGCCATCTGATCTGGCTCCACCACCTCCCGTACAGGGAAATGATGATGGTGACGACGGTCATAATCGTCAGGACCCACCGCCAGAGCGTCGGGATGAACCTCAGAGGACTCGTAGAAGTAGAATTCCACGACCAAGTCGGGAAGCTTCACCAGCTCCTGAGCCTCGAAGGTCTTCACGCCAGCGGAATGTGCCTACACGTCCAGGAAACGTCTATGGGGAAAAGCGTACCCCTACGGATATAGTCCGTGACATTCAGAACAGCAGAGGATGGAAGCGGTATGTTGGTGAAGATAAGGGTAGCTCCCAATCTCAACCATCAACCGGTGCTGATGCAGGGGTTCCCGGCCCTAGCTCGCAACCAGATTCCTCAAACGCAGGTGCTTCTGATGATCTAGACGAGGATGCACGCATGGAGAAGCTATGCCGGGAAGGGGGAGTAAGGCTCATCACGGCGCTGCTGTCAAAAGCGGTTCCAAATGAGAACCTACCTGATACGTCCAAAATTCGCGATTGGACGTTCCGCGATATCAAGCGGTTGCCTTCTGAACAACAGAAAGGTTGGATTGATGCTTGCCGCGACGAGTTAGAGGCACTTCGTCAGCGCAAGGTCTATTCCCTTGTGGACCGCCCGAAAGGACGGAAGGTTATCAGATGTCGCTGGGTCTTTGACCAAAAATCTGATGGCCGAAAACGTGCCCGCCTAGTTGCCAAGGGTTTCAGTCAAGTCGAAGGTGTTGACTATGACGAGATATTCTCTCCTGTTGTCAGGTATGAGACGTTCCGGTTGGTCATGGCGCTTGCAGCGCTCAATGATTGGCATTGGTCTGGACTCGACGTCAGTAAGGCTTTTCTCTATGGAGAGCTTGACGAAGAGGTCTACATGGAACAACCCGAAGGCTTTGTGGCGAGAGGCCAAGAGCGCAAAGTCATGCGCTTGCACAAGGCAATCTATGGATTCAAACAAGCTGCTTTAGCATGGTGGAAAGCGCTGACCAAGTCCACGAAAGCCATGGGCTGGATCCGACTAACATCGGATGCCGGCGTGTTCTTCTACAAGGACTCTGATGGCAGCATAGCCGTCATAATAGTCTATGTGGATGATGCACTGTTCTTCTCCAAGAACAAGAAGCTCCTCGCCTTTCTCAAGGCTGAGTTCAACAAGCGATGGGAATGCCGCAATTCTGAAGATACTCCAGAGTTCTTGCGCGTGCGCCTCAGTAGAGTAGGATCTTCGATCAAGATTGATCAGATTCCTTATCTCGACAAGGTGCTAGAGCGCTTTGGGATGCAGAACGCCAAGTTCGCAGCGACCCCTCTACTGGCTGGATATGTTCCAATGCCAAATGAGGATGAAGTCGATCCAGAGCTCAGGAAGAAATTCCAATCAGTCATTGGATCTCTTCTCTTCATCATGCTAGGCACACGTCCTGATATTGCATTTGTTGTGACCAAATTGTCACAATTTGCCGCCAATCCGTCCCAAGACCACCTCCATAAAGCACTGTATATCTGCCGCTATTTGGCTGGTACTAGGAATTATTCGCTCATTTTCAATGGTGCGACGGATAGAGGGCTAATTGCATTTAGCGATTCAGACTGGGCTGCTGATCCGATCAAGAGGAGGTCTACCACTGGTTTCTTCACGAAATTGGCAGACGGGATTATTTGCTGGCAGTCTAGGCTTCAGCGCACTGTCGCGCAGTCTTTGACCGAAGCAGAATACATGGCGATTTCAGATTGTAGTCACCAGGTGATGTGGCTGAAGAGTGTCCTTTCGGAACTCCAGTTCAAACTCACCATCCCAGTACCCATTTGCGGTGACAATCAGGGTGCACTCTTCAGTGGCAGCAATGCCTACCGAGACCGCAGGATGAAACACATAGACATCCGCTATCACTACATTCGTGAGCGAGTCGAGGAAGAAGAGGTTGAACTGTTCTTTATTCCGGGCAGTGAGAATCCTGCAGATGTGTTCACCAAGAACCTAGGACGCGTCAAGTTCGAGAAGTTCAGGTCCCAACTAGGACTTGAGTTCAACTCGTCCTGAAGGAATGGCCAATGAAGATTTCGCTTTCAAACACTATCCCGTGGTTTTCAGCGTGGGGGAGTATTGATCAAATGATGATCTTATCGTCTGCCAGATGGATGTCGTGATACACATCTATGACTCCATCACGTGTCATCTAGAGTCATGTCGACTCGTCCTAAATAGACACAAATAGCCCCCTGTATTGTATATAAGGAGGGCTCTATTACCCTATAATACAAGTCTCTTGACTACTCCCGCATAGTACCCACACTAAGCTCTCAACTCACACAGGTGGGTTGCTAGACGCTCTCCCCAGTGCTCAACATACAGCTTTGGTCCGCCGAGCTTGTCAAGCTGCATACCATGATTTTTACAAGTCGTCATCTCATCTCCCTTTCTACTCCGCTTCAAATGTCAGCCCCATATACAGCGTGGCTAGCTGCAGCGTATTGTACGGGGCCTGCGTGCGTCCGACGTCCGCGTGAGGAACTGAACCATCTGAGTGGCACAGAAAACCCTATTGACCCCCCCATGTCGCGCAACCACATGACCTTGACAGATCAATGATGCCGCCTGATCAGCGCTTTGCGTCATTGATGGAGGGACTTAGCGAGCATTTCGAGCCTCGCGCGCAATAACATTGGAGATAAGATTGATAAGCTACATCTTGTTTTTTTTTTGTCATTGTGGGAATATCAGGGAGCAGCGCTTCGACTTCCATCTTTACACGCGTCCGGACGCGTTGACATGTCACAAAAACGATGCAATAAGTGCCGCAAGCACATCGACCTTATACCACAAAAATCAACTCCCGTTGTCGTCCGTGTTGCGATGCAGACAAAAAAGCACTGAGAGCAAAAAGGAGGAGCACCGGAGTCAAGGAAGACAAGGAACAGACTCAGGAGGAACAAGATGATGACGCGTCTGACTTCATCGGTGCGAACCATGTCTTCTTTCTGCGCGCTTCTCATCTTCTTCTATCAATCAGGGACAGAACCTGTCTCGATGAGTGTGTTCCTGCAGATGCTTACTCCCGATACTCGTCAATTGACAGCACTCGTTGATGTAGAGAGTCTTACAGACGATCCAGAGACGCGGGCCCCATTATCGGCAGATGTCCTGCCATATAAGCGTCTTCTAGACCGGATCGCGTACCTAATTGGGGAAAAAACAAACTATCGCTTCACATATGTTTTAGATGTATATATCCTGTCTACTGATATACCTTTTCAGGTACCGGGACAAAAGGGACGCGTCAAGTGCTTCCCGCATTCGCTATTCATGCTGTCAAGATGCAGCGCGGCAGAACACGTCAAAGAAGACCAACGATCCAACAAAGAAACCCCGGGACAAGGTGCAAATGGAGTTGTTTGAGTGTCACGGAACCATCAACGTGTGGGCTAGCGAAGACACCACTCAGTTCTTTGTTCGCTATCAACACAAGGACTCACACAAGCCTTATGTCAATATCGACCTACCTCCAGCCGTGAGGAGGCTCATTGAAAATCGAGCGGACATGTGTGGTCCGCAGGTCAGTGATCTCAAATTTACATTTACCTGCCTCTGCTGACTCCTCTACTCAGATCTGGAAGGAAATTCTGAAGACTTACCCCGAGCCACTATTCTCGTATCACCAAGTATACAACCACCTTCTCAAGCTGAACTCAGGGGCCTGGCGTCTGGACGAGAATGAAGAGAAGTCAGCCGAGCTTCTTCTCGAGAAGCTCTGTTCGGAACGTCCAGAATGTGCCATGTTGGAGAGAATTAGGCTTCCAAATGACCCTGTGGACGGTTATTCGGCATTTGCATTCTCCTTGCCTGCTCTCATACGCAAGTGGGGTGGATGTGTCAAGGAAGTTCAGCTCGATTCCACATGTACGCAACATCTACCATCTCAAATTGATGTGCTAATATCCTCGACTGTCATCATCAGTCAAAACGAACAAGATCGGATATGAATGCTTCGCCATCTTAGGGGAGGTGTTTGGATCTGGTGTCTCTCTCGGATTTTTGCTTATCAAGTCGAACGGTAACCCAAAATTGGGCGCAAAGGAGGCTTACATTCAAGTGCTCCTGCGCAACATTACCGAGCACTGGGAGATATCACCGATCCAGACTCTGAGCGACAAGGACATCACGGAAATCAACGCGTTCCTAGCGGTGTTTCCCAAAGAGGTAAAGCATCAGCTTTGCTTATGGCATGGGATTCAAGCGTTCCGGGGTCGTCTCTCGGTGATTTCGCGTCCTCCAGCGTTATACCACGCCGATGAGGCCTTTGCTGAGTTCGACTTCATTGATGTGATGTTTCTTCCAGTAGCCCAGATGCAACCAGAAGACCGCGTAAGTCCAACACATTGTTCCATGGGTCTATCTAATATATGATAGGCTACTATTCTAGTTGCACACGAGATGATCCCTACAATTCAATTCCGGCTGGGCGGTGCACTCCTGCCACGCGTTCCGGAGCGTTCGAAGATTGTCATCCAGGTCGATGGCAATGTTCGTAACGTGCTCGGGAGCTTGGATAATCCCAAAGATCTTCTCAACATCCTAGATGATGAAGAAGAATTTGCCGAGCATCTACTTGCCGGCGAAGAATCAGATCGGCTGGAGGCCGCAGATTCGTGGTTAGAGCCTGACGAAGAGCCAATTGGGACGATCTTTCGGACGGTCGATGGCTCTGACGTGTTCTGCCCTGCTGTCCATCGCAAGCAGCTGGTGCACATGTTCATCCGACACTGGTGCCTACACTCATTACTCCTGGACCAAAGTGGGCAAACACAGACGAAGGACGAGATTCGAAGGGAGGCTGTGCATGAGGCATACAGATTCTGCTATCAACGCGGTCTCCGCGAGGTCTGGGCCTATATGTGGGAAGCGTGGTATTGTCCCTCAAAGTGGCGCTTGTGGGCTCGTTCGTCTCAGCCAGACTATATCGGGCGATGGAGAACAACAATGGCTGTCGAGAATTTTTGGCGCAACATCAAGAAAGGCGCCCTGCTGCATCTCACTCACCCTCGCTTAGATCAACTAGTCTATCTTATCGCAAATGAGATCCTGCCCTCAATCACTGCGAAGATGTCCAAGTTCGATCCGAAATGGCGGGACGGACGGACGGTCAAAGCAGCATACTCCGTGGCAATCGGCATTCAAAGCTAATTGGAAGAAGCTTTCGACACGTCAACTCGGGTTGTCATCATCCACTTACATGACAGACATTAGCAGGTGGATTTGCACGTGCGGACAACAGAAATATGATGCATTTCTGCTCTGTAAGCACCTTGTTCAGGCCGTTTACCCACCTGATCCTCAATTCTTCCGGAACGTCTATCGTCGCCGAGTCATTCCCTTCTATCACCATCCAGAGTTTCTGATGCCCAAGTCTGGTCCGGAGATTCGTCACAACACGTTCAAAGCCTCCGATTTAGCGGGGGATTTCCAAGCAGACGGGATTGACCGAGCGCGTTCGGCGGCATCAACGCAAGTGCTCGATGTAACAGCTGCTCCCCACGAAGATCAGGAGGAGGGGAATCAATACGACGCCGAGCTCTTCCCCTCTTCCCCAGCTCGATCCCAGCCTTCTGTCCATCCCAACGAAGAGTATGATGATGTGAGTTCCTTCTCCGACGTGGGTATCCTGTTTTTCCTCACATTTATCTCAGAAGGATGAATTGGAGGAGTTCGGAAAGAATTTGCTCAACGTCCTGGAGGGCGGGATCACATTGCTTAAACGGCAGCTCGAGAACATCGACGAGTCCCAAGTTCTTCTGCGGGCCTTAAAGCGGCGAAAGATCGGGCAGGATTTGGCTGCAATTGTTGCTGACAATCGGCACGCAACAGAGACGGGTCAGATTCGAAGGACGGTCTGGGGATTGAATGGGAGCCGTGCAGACAAGAGGTATAGTAGAAATACAATGGGAGCTAGGTAGTTCGACAACTAATTATCCTTTCTATCCGATGTTATTGCGCGCGAGGCTCGAAACGCTTGCAAAGTCCCTCCATCAATGACGCAAAGCGCTGATCAGGCGGCATCATTGATCTGTCAAGGTCATGTGGTTGCGCGACATGGGGGGTCAATAGGGTTTTCTGTGGCACAACTGTGTTTCCTCGCACCCGGGCGCAGTGTCTCTGGGAGGTCGATGGTCATCTGTTAGGATGGAGGAAATCAGTTGTCCGGCCCGGGTCCACGCAGCGTGCAGCTCTCGACGCGTCCATCAGGTTTCACACTCCATGCGCTCCAGGCTGTGGCTTCACGAGGACCATTCCTCGTCTAGCCTCTCGGTATGGGACTCCCTAACTCTCCCTGGGGTCCACCGGGCTTGACAAAGGTGATAGTGGCCATTGGGAGGACAGTTCCAGAGGACTTGTTGAATGGTGTGGTGGCACTTGAACGAATCACTTATCGATCAGCTGTTCCCAAGAAGCCTCGTCGGCCCATCCTCTTGACTCGAGTGGTGTCTGATTTGATACCATGTATGGCAGCGAGCATGCACCCAGACCATCTCCATTCCTGATCCGACCCCGTGCACCGTTCAGAAGCGTCTCTGACAATAAACGTGTTGTTGTGCGTGATCGGCCACCATCTGTGGGTCCCTTCCTTTCTCCCCTCACCTCTCGAGCCCACAAAACTCGTCTGCGCCCACCGCCATGGACGTCCCTGCATTGCACAACAGCATGAGCACGGACGCCGTTGCCGTCGCAGCCCTGGGTCAGGTTCATGCGCCTCCGGTCCCGCCGCCGCAAGCTGGGTAGTGCTCTCATCGATGGGTCCCGATGGGTGTCTGACGGCCCAAGGTCTCCGCAAGTGCGGCCGCCTCCGACCGCGCCTGGTCATTTCTTCGCACGTGCGTCCGAAGTGGAGGTCTCCGGCGGGAACTTCCTCACTGCGTCCCGCGACATCCACTACCATACGGTGCGAATTGGGGGAGGGAATGAGGCGGGAGACAGAGGAAGTGGGTATCAGTTCCCATTGGTTGTAGATGCTGGTGTTGTGCTTGCGCTCATCATGATCAGCTCTGAAGAAACGGTCCTCAGTGAGTGCTTCGACTGTTGCCGGGGTGCGTGATTCTTGGTCGGATGACATCGCAAGCCGCTCACTGACATCCTACTTTAGTCGTCCAGCATCGGCAAGGCTGCCCATGGAGATATCATCCTTGACCCCATGAGCAATTATTGCGAGTCAGAAATCTACATGAATCAACTCTCACGCCAAAACCGAGGCTTTCCCCTCTACGACCCAAGTCCCCAACGAAATATGCCCGCAGAGTATAAGAAAAAAGGCATCTGTATCGGCGACGTTGGTCGAATCTCTCCGGATGGCTTCTTCGATTTCTTCTTCAACATATTCCTCCCTGCGGAGCACCCCGTCAACGATAACGATGTCCCCGCTGGGTTCTCGCCACTCGCACCGTATACAAGAAAAGAAGTTTCGTTCAAGACGATCAGACCGGGTGCATTTGTCGCATCACCCTCTATTACGAAGCCCGGTGACATGCACGATCCTGCAAAGTGAGTAGCCTCTTATTTTCCTCGCACCTCATTGCTCACAATGAGTTCAGTGAGCACCCTTTCCACTGCGTTGGCCCCACCGGTGCATTGCTGGTTCTTCCACAGGGCTCACTAATAGAAAAACTGGAAAATTCCGAGCGTATTCGCAAGTACGCTGAACGAAATGCGGAGAGTTGGTACAAATATGTCAATGGTCCAAGGGGTCGGCATCTCGTCAACGGCTCTCTTTATGTTGTAACAGGCTGCGAGAAAACTCAATCCGGGGTAATCGCAACATTTCATACCACTATAGCTGGAAGAGAATTTCCCCTCCGCTTCCGTGAGCGAGTCGACCCCAAATCAGAACCCATCTACGGCTTCATTGGTGATGGTACTGCACTCTCCAGCTACTTTATTGCTCCGTTGGAGAACGACAAGAGACTCTGTAATCAGACTGTCTTCATCCATGGCTTCACCAGACTTATCACATGGGCGCGGCAAACGGGCATGTCCCGCCAAGCGGAGTTTGAATTTCGCTTGGCGGGCATTTGATGGCGGGCATGGGCATGGGCATGGCTTGTGCCCAACTTTTTGAACCTTGGGACATTGTTTGGTGTCGGACGGACGCTGCGGACATCGCGCTGTCGCCGCGTTGGTCGCTCTGCAATCGGTCGAGTCCGGATCGGAACTGGTGGTGATGCAGGGCTTCCCACACTAATCAACCTTCGTCGTCGCCGTCGGGTGGCCTAGGGTGGCCTCAGCTTAAGATCAATAGACTAATTTGAGCTATTCTACATGTCATTGAACAATACAACAACCTGATTCTTTCTATTACCATGCCCCGCCTTCCTTTTTTCTGCGCCACCGTTGTCTGTGCTGCCTTCACTTCACGCGTTCTCTTCACCCTTTTTGCTGGCCGCGCTTGCTCTGCACCAGTGCCCGAGTCGCTCTCGTTGTCCTGCGCGCGTGCTGCCGCATTCCGAGCTATGGGCTTTGGTCTTGGCCTCGGTTTTTTGTTCTCCAATTGACTCCTCGTCCATTGGGTCGCCGCGCGGAGCTGGAGGCATTGTGTAGATGGGATACCCGGCGTCCAAATTAGTAGAACCTGACATACAATAATAGAACGCGTCAGCACTGTAGAGGGCATGTGACCGCCTGAACGCTTTTATCTTCAGCTCCATAGGCGAGATCTGCTCAGCTCTTCCGAATGCCAAACAGGACAGCCTGCACATAATCGACTGGATCGTATCCGCACTGCAGTCAGAAAATGTTGATTGCATCAAGCAATCTGGCATGTCATCAAGCAAGTGGGCATGCACTCGATTCTGTGCACTTCACGAGCTTGTTGGCTAGTAAGGCAGTCATAATCTCTAGATAAGGTGTCCTAGAAACTTAGATCATGGCGGCGCGGCAAGATTTAAGTTCGGAATTTAAGCAATCAAGATGCGGACGTATGCCCGTTTGTCGGATGGGATCAATTTGGACTTCGAGGCTGACCAGTACACAATGGAGCCCCGTGTGCATTGAAAAATGGAGGTGTAGGGGTGAGGCGTAGTCCTAAGCCATGAATCTGAGACCTTTCCATGACTTTGAGATGCTTTCTTTCTCCCAAGAGTCAGTTATCATCGACTGCATAGAAGAAAGCTCAGCGGGGAGGTCAATCACATCTCCGCAGAGCCCCGAAGAACAATCACGACGTGAAAAGCCCGCATAATTTCGTGTCTGAATCGAGCTACAACACTCCCACACAGTCCAATTTGCTGAAAGCCAGCGTCGAAGCAGCATCAGTAACGTAGCGCGTAGCAGATCTTGAGACATCATTGCTAAGTGCATTGGTAGGTTTGACATGCTTAAATACAGCCCATAGGGAAGCCTACAATGAGTAAATACAAATTATTTATGGCCTGAGGCATGCCAAAATGTTGGCTTGGCATGCCCGCAAACGGGCATGCATGCCTGATTGCATCAATTTCAAGCCAAACCTGTCAAATGCCCATCAATTGCCCGTTTGCGCGGGGGAACGCCCGTTTGGCATGCCCAAAACGTCGGTCTCGCTTTTAATGGCGGGCATGGGCATGGGCATGGCTTGTGCCCATTTTCTGAGACCAGTTTCTTCCCTGAGCTCTCGTCGTTGATAGCGGCAGCGCTCCCCGTCGTCGATATCGCTTACAGCATAAGGGCACAACATCTGAATATCCGAGATGCTCAGTGGTAAGTCGCCATCGCCGCCACCACCCTCGGACACCACGGGATGCTCCTAGAACTCAGATTTTGCGGCGTTGAGGGCTCTAGTTCGCATAATCAGTATCCCAGTACTCAACCTCACGTTCTCCTTCCTGAAACATGAACTCAACGTCACCGCCATGACTCCGTCGGACCACGGGCTTGATTAAGACTTGGGAGGTAAAGATCATAACCCCCAAAGATGATTCGTCCATTTAGCAATCCAGTTTCGCTTTATCTTCAAGTCGCTGTCTCTAAGAACCAACCTCAGAGTGAACGAGGCGAGGGAATCAAGATCGCGCCGCTTTAATGTGATATCATGCGATCAAGGTAGTCGCATGCGCGTTGACAGACAGCCTCAAGATCGCGGAGGATCATCTGCAGTGTGATCTATTACGATTCGATGTTCGCAAAGTCATGGGAAGACATTAGGAAGGTTTGTGCTTAGCAATGAACAAAATATATCTCAATTCATCTCAGGAAATTGGTAAACAGCACGATGGAGAAAGTTTTGACCATTGCACATCGGAAGGATGCAATGAATACAATAAGAATATGATGAAAAGCCCGATGGCTTGCACGTTATGAGCGACATTACAGGCTTGACACCACGCGATGTCGCATCCAACAATGCTGGGGTCTGTTATGATAGGAACAATTGGTTCCGAGTCCCATATGGAGCTTCCTAAGAGCCTAGGAACAGTCAGTATATATCCTGGACGGCTAAAGACTTGAAGAAAAGCAATTATACTTGGCTGAGCGCATGCCAAAATGTCGGCTTGGCATGCCGACAAACGGGCATGCATGCCTGATCGCATCAATTTCAAGCCAAAACTGTCAAATGCCCATCAAATGCCCGTTTGCGCGGGCCAATGCCAGTTTGGCATGCCCAAAACGTCGGTCTCTGGCTTCACTGTATCGCTTGGAGAGGGCATCTTTGGACGCCGCTTCGGCGGTGTGGGACTGACATCCACCGGGGACTCCCCTCTATCTCAGATGCGTAACAGCAAATTTGTCCCCTTTGTCTCCAGCAACAACTCCAAGTTCCCGTTTAGTTTTTTTGGCATAGGAAGGCACGGTAGACGTGTCAAAGACGGAGACGCTGTGGTCATCTCCCAGTTGTCCCCCAGTCCGCAAGTGCGTTCACGCCATCTCACTCGTTCGAATGGGGAGATTATAATCTGACTAGTCGTTTAGATCGTTCATCCGTCGCAAATTCTCAACGAATTCATCCTCCAACAGGTTTGTGTCTTTACCTGCTGCTCAAGTCTCTGCTGACGAGGATTTGTAGTCTCCCAAAACCTCAGTCGTGATCACTCATGACGATGACTGGTCTGACATCCTGGAAGATGTACGTCCACCGCTCTGGGGAGCGGCAATTGAGTCTCACGGTTTCGTTCCAAGGACGGTACTCCAAATGCGGTCCAAAGCATTTTCGCTTTCCTGCAACAAATCTGCGAGCGGTTCGACATCGCATCAGAAGGCGGTGAGCTAGGCTTTATCCGCCTCGTCTCCGATCCCCATACTCAGTGAACCGCAGGTGCACGCTATCTGATTCCAAAAACTAGCCGCACCTCGACCCACAGACAAGCACTTTCTCTCGCCGACCCGCAAGATACCCCCAGTCACTCTAAATCTACTCGCCCACCCCGAATAAGGCGCCACTCGCTCAACCTCCCCGAGATGTACAAAAACGAAGATCTTACAGCGAACGAAGCTTCTGACGACGTCGCTGCTGCCGCTGCTGCTCATGGGGACTTGAGAAGAAACTCGATCCAGGAGCCGGTCGGGACGAGGCCCTCGTCCCCACCCTTTGAACCGGCAAAAACTGCGGATGCAGCTGGCGACGAGAAGCTTTGAAAGCTTTGTGTAGTATATGCGACCGCTGGTCATTCAAGGTCTAAAGCTGTGATTAGTAATGTGGTGTAATTGTACAGGAGAGGCGAATATCTATCATGTGCTGCGCTGTAACAAGACCGTATCTTTCCAGTCGAGATTGGGGCCGGTTAGAATAGGATCAGGATCCCATGAAATGTTACACGTTTAGCCACAAATACAATGAGTGGGGTTTGACGAAGACCAATGAGCTTCATTCATTTACGACTGTTACAAAATAAAAAAGCTCCAGATTCAGAGGACCCGAATGCTCCAGAGCTCGCAACGGAGTGCACATGCAGTAATACTAGGCTGACGAGGGCTGATAATGCGGCCTGGCAGGCGTGATGTCACGCGAATATTTCGAGTCCATCACTCATTAGGTTTCTGTTCTCCGCCACATCTGCACGCGATACGACGCGACTCACCATCATGGTACGACCCTAATAACGCAGCCGAAAACTAACGCGTCTGACGCTGCTGCCCCTTCTCGATAGCCCCCCCGCCAGGCGAAAATTCTCCAACTTCTGATCAAGACGTACAGGCTGACGGTGCTCACGACCATCGCGCCCACCGCGACCGTCGCGGACCTCAAAGCAGACGTCCTTTCTGCGCTTTCGTCCGAGGTGCACCGGTCCAGCGCAGACGACGACATGCCTGAAGTTACATCTGTGGAGGATTTCGAGATATGCAAGGGTGTCAAGACGCGGGGCAAGCTGACAGGGGAATTCACGGCTTTGACGGACTCAAGACAAACACTCAGAGATGCGGATGTCGTGAATTGGGAGGCTCTGTTTGTGCAGTTCCGCGATTCGGAATCAGGTGTGTGGCATGGCTGCCTAGTCGCAATAGTCCTGAACTTAGGTTGGGGTATTCTAGGAGACCTCTTGCCCGTGATATTCCATCCTTATGAAGATGATGAGGAGGAAGTGACACCACAGTTTGCTCAAGCAGAGGCTTCCGCGACGCGAGGAAAGCGAAAAGCACCACCGGAGTGAAGCTCTGATACACACGATTCGACCCACCGGACAGGCACTCAAGCGTGAGGTCTACTGAAATCTCGTCTGTTGCTTGTATTTTTGCGCTCATGTACTGGTATTGTAACTCTTGCTGTCGAACCGCATCGACCAGGAGGGCCAGATCGAGCCCTCTCTCCAGCAGCCTGACGGCAAGAGGAAGGCCAATCCGCATGTCGCGTGGTCAATTAGCTTGCGCGCGAAGATATACAAAGGGGCCAGTCTCTCTCTCTAAATCACTTCTGCTGGCGTTTGAGCACCGGGTTTTCGATCTCATGTATCTGCTGCCGGCCCTCTGGAGTGCCCGGGATCGTCTTGGTAAGACCCTGTGCGAAACACCTCAGCCGCGAGTCGTAGTTGAGAAACGAGGAACACATACCAGTTTGTCGAATACACAGCTGTTCAGCGACCGCTCAGCGGGCCGACACCGATAGTACTCCTGATAGCGGCGGTAATGCAGTCAGTGTCCGCGTCGGGAGAGCACGGACTGCGCTCGCGCACCTGATTGTTCAGCTCGAGACAGTTCCAGTGCTCTTCAAACTGCTTGAGACAGTTCTCCCGCATCTTGTTGATCCTTCCGAGACCGAGTCGCCTCAGTAATCCACAACGACATAGTAGGCGAGAGCACCGCTACTCACACCTCGGTCGCACACCGTGTGACGCGCCTCCCCTCTTTCAAGCAGTGTGCCGGGTCGCCGTTCTCCGCCTTGCAAAGCATGAAGTCCTCTATAGCAAACAAACAAGATTGACGGGTGAGCCAGGTCGTTGCGGTCGGTCGCATTCGGAAGCACCATTGTATTCCTTGCAGTGGGCGCCGATGAAGAAAGCTGCACTCTTCAAAGGCGCACTCGTCGTCCCGATCTCCGGAACGTGCGGGACGGCTTGCGGCGCGGCCGCCTGCTTGGAGGTTGTGCTCATTGAGGTGGTGAGCGTCAAAAGTTTGGCAATATTTTGGTGCAGCGATTCTGCTTTGTCATCAACGCGATCACTGCTTGACCTTGCATCTTTCCGACTGCGTTCTTGAGTCTTAGACTGACGACTTTGCTTCGGACACATGTCAGCAGAACGCGTTCGCGTCCGCGTCAGTTCGTCCTCCCCGTCCCCAATGCCTCCATCCCGACCCTCATCTCTCGCCAGGGACTAAGCATCCACAGACCTATCATATACGGAAATACCGCCTCAGTACTGACACCTAAAGCCCGCGAGGCCCTGTCTACGACCTCTCCCGATCACACGCACACATGGACTGTTGCTGTCCGTAGTGCTGCATCTGCATCGGACCAAGATATCGTCGGTGGGGCGGATGATTTGAGTCACTTCATCAAGCGCGTAACGTTCAAGCTTCACGACACGTATCCCAACCCATCTCGCAGTGCGTTTGACTGGCCCTGTTAGTTCATTTCTTTAACTGATCGTCTATAGACGTGGACAAGCCACCGTTCGAGTTGACGGAGACGGGGTAAGCTGCGTCCGCTTTGGTCGTTCCCTTCTGCTCTAACACGATCCAGATGGGGTGAATTCGAGATTCAGATTCGGATTATATTTGTCCCAGACGCGGCGGAAAAGGCCATAACTTTCTACCACCATCTCAAGCTACATCCCTGGGCAGCCGCCGGAGATCCCGAAATCCCGCCGCTTGACGTTGCCATACGAGCAGGACCCGTCCATTCCTGGCAGTACGACGAGCTCGTCTTCAACGATCCATTCCAAAGTTTCCTCAATACACTCACTCAACACCCGCCCACTCCCCTGGTCCGCACACGTAGAAAACCTGTACCCTTCCATCTCGCGAATGTGGCGAGTCTGGAGGCCAGCAAAGGCGGCACCCCCGAGTTCACGCTGCAAATGGAGAAAGAAGAGGCGGAACGCCTGGAGGAGGCCAAACGAGCCGTCCTCGCTGAAGACCAGAAGTGGCGCTCAACCCTGATCGAGAAGGAAAAGGAGTTGGAGCAGCTGAAGAAAATGCTCGAAGACCGAGCGCAGTAGTGAACAGTCTTGTATCGCCGAATATCCCAACTAACAAGGGGGATGTTGGCCATGTAATTGTACGCTGTACACCAAGTCCAATTGGAATCTAGCTGCTGACTCTGCAGCGAAAAACAAGATATGTAATCCACTTCGTTGGTGAGAAATTCAACAGGTATGAGCAGAGCAAAAGATCAGTTTGGGGTCATTTGCGCCTAGAATGTTCAGCAACTGTGATTGCCCTGCTTTCAAAGTATCCCTGATAAAAAGGGATCTAGTGCAAAAGAAGTGGCCATCGTGGGGGTCGAACCCAAGACCTTCGCGTTATTAGCACGACGCTCTAACCAACTGAGCTAGACGGCCGTGAGAACCTGGCACTATCATTTGTTTGTATCCACCGCTTTGACGAGGACAAATCATCACACAAATCACCCTCACTTCTGTCTGCGGCAGAGCCTCTCAGAGCCTCGAACCGTCAACATCAGAAAGAAAGAAAACCCAATGCGAGCTCACCGCTGAGCTGTAGTTCAAGTCTTGTCTCACTTTGGATTGGCACTCCGACGCTGGGGACTTCGAAATGATCACCTGTTCCCAGGTGACCGGGAATTTGTTTGATGAGAGACAATAGTACAAACTATGCAATATGAACCTGAGAATGGGTCTGGGTTCACATCTTTCGTCTGTGCGACTAACGCATCTCGGGTCTGTAAAAGAGAGTGTGCCAATGCCCAGATCAGTCAGCCTATGCGCTATTTCCGAGATTCAGAGGGTGTGCATGCACGGAAACTAATCATCCATCCATCTTGGGAGCACCCACACCACAAGGAGACTACCCATCAGCCATCACCGACGGTTCCTGGACCTCGCGTGTCGGGGAAAGACTCCATAGCTGGACAGCGCCGTCATGGCTCCCGGTAGCAAACATGAACGGATTCTCCGATGCGGGGTTCCATGTCATGCACATCAGATCGCTCGATCTCCCTGCTGCTGGGATGTGCCGGAGGTAGATGCCGCTTTCGCGATCCCATACATGGATGTCTCTGCCTGTGAACAGTACGTCAGGCTCGGAACAGATGAGCTTATTGTCAAGAGACCTTTGGAAGCGCACAACACCAGCTCGTCGTCCTTCCCACCGAAGTAGCCGGGCCCGGCGAACTCGACACCAGTTTGTCTCGGCAGATATGTGTGCAGCAACCTCACACGCGTGATTGAAGCGGAAGCATTGCGCTCGTCGCTGACTCTGTATAGCTTCCAGAGCTGGGGCGGCTGATGATGCGATTCAGTTATACAGGTTCTTAGTATAGTGAGGATTGATCTGCACCTGGATCTCGTAGCTGATCAGCGCTAATAAGCCATTCCTGCCCAATCGAGCTTTGCGGCTGATCGACACATGGCGCACGTCGTCCAGGATGGGTATCTGACTGGCAAGACAGTCAGGAAGAGCGCACACAAGTCGAAAGAATCATGACATACTATTCAATGCATTTCGTTTGCATGTTGTACACAATCAATCGTTTTTCGACAGGTGATTTGCTTGGATGCAGTTTCGATGGCGATTCTGAGAGAACCCCCACAGCCCAAACCCGCGAGCCGTCTGTTGTGACAGCGGCATCATGCAGGGTGGTCATTCCAAAGTCGTACGAGTCAAGTTCCTTGCCGAGTAGATCCTGGGGGGCAAACGGTCAACACACACAAGTAGATCAGAAAGAGCGGGGCGCACGAGTCTGAAAACCGTATTCTCCTCCACTGAGAGGAATGCTACATAGGGTCCATAAGATTTGTATTCCCTCAGAAGAATTTGCGCTACCTTTGCCGTCAGGGAGCCAAGCAACCCGTCTGATGTTAGTCTGTCGATCGATAGTTTTGTGACAGACTCCGTGCTGCCAAGATTCGAGTGAGGCACTACGACATGCATGATACGCACCTGCGTCCATAGCTTCACACTCCGAACGTGCTTAGTGAGCAACATCGTACTATCAGGCGACCTATGTAACGTTGAGTAAGTTCTGGCACACAGCTGGATGACAGACCGAACATACCAAACAGTCTGTCCTACATAACTCTTAGGATGGACCAAAACCCGATACATTGAAAGCAAGTTATGCTCAGGATGGGTTTGCCATATTATGGAAGTTCCGTCCCAGCTACACACTCTGCGTCAGGCTCCGGAATCCCAGGAGGAGAGCGCTCTGACACACCTGGATGTGATCAGGAATTTGCCGTCCTCCGAGAACTGAGCATCCCGAACCAAAGCCTGATGGGCTTCGAAGTCCCCCGTTAACTCTAGAACACCGAGTTTGCGTTTCATAAGCGACAATCGCGATCGTTCCGCTCTGACGGGTTCTGCGACGAGCTTGCCGCTGTCGATGTCGCCAGGATCGGCACCAGTCGTTTCAACACGTTTCTTGCCAGGTGTGATGAACGGGGCAATGATGGTCGATTGCAGATGGATCGTCTTCATCGCACTGAGCAGTGCTTGTTTCCTGCGAGTACGTCCCGTATCGCTGGTTTCAGCTTTCTCGCCCGCGCCTGCAACCCAGGGTAAACCCCCCGCTTCAAGATCCTTACCGTCATCCGACAGTGAGCTTTCCCAGTCATTACACATGATCCATGAGCGCCACCGTCCCAACAATCGAGCGCATCCCCGCAAGGACAGGCTTGTTTTCTGCCATGCTTTGCGCGCGTGGCTGAATCCTGGGAGGTCCCATGTTCGCTCGATCCTTTCGAGGAGAATATCCATCAACCATTTCCGACCGCGATATTTGGAGAATATCCATCGTTCAGATGCGAACCAGCCAGACACAGCAGCCAGGCCAAGGGTGGTGACGGCTGTCATGACTGTGGTGATGATGGACGTAACCGGAGACTGCACAAGATAGCGAGTAAGCACCCCACGCCCGGTGAAATAATGTACATTCGCGGACCTGGTTCGATCCATATGCAAACAGGCACAGCCCAACCGAGAAGCAAGCGACAGAGATCACGAGAAAGACAAGCGGCGATCGTTTGATCCATATGAGGACCCACCACGGAACGCGGTGTCTCGGCGGCCGACTACCGTGTTCTCAGCTCACAACGCACAGGGCAAACGGTACGACCCACTAGATGGCCTGCTTCCATGTCAGTCCCAGCACGCTATTCACCGCTGCGCCAATGCTGAACACCAGGGACGCGAACCAGAATGTGTTGACCGCATTTTGCGTCCGGGTTTCCGTGAGCTGGAAGGAGAACTGTAGCGTGGTGGCTATCACAGCAGAGAAGAATGTCGCGACGGTCGATAGATTGAGCCTTTGGGGCTGATGAGAAACAAACAAACTCCAGTTCGGCCGCGCTCACTTGGCATGAATGAGCTGCATCGTTCAAGGACATACAGTCAGTCAATTCAAGGCTCACCAGGTTATCAGTCTTGTGCTTTTGGGCATATCTGATAGTGGGAACCCCTGAAGATTGAATCAATACCCCTCAGATGCGAGACGAATCTTTGCAGTCCCACCAACTTCGAGAAAGAGGACCAATGTGGAGGCCAATTGATCTGCGTGGTCTCCGAAATGGGTGGAAAGATCATGGACATAACGTTGGATTGAAGGCTGGCGGAATTGTCCTAACAACATTGAGGACTAGCCTGGCAAACTATCTGGCAGGAAGTACCTTTATAAACGTGCAGACAAGATGCCCAGTACTGTCGGTACATTCGAGCTTATGAAACACAAACGGGACGACAAACTCACGCGAAGATCCGCTTCAAATAGACTGATCGAAGCATTGATTGACTCATCTATGAACTCAGGGAACTCTTTCAAGCATTGGACGAATACCACGAGATGGTTGGCAAGCTCTTCGAACTGGCTCGGAAAGTGCTCCTGCTTCGCGTCAGATCCATCTTACACGACGATCGCCGACCAGACACACCAGATCCAGATTGACATTGACCCGCGGACGCGCGATCAGCTGTGGAGGCAGCTCTCGTTCTTTCTTTGCCTGGACTGTGGAGTCACGAAGAGTCGGTTCCCGAGCCGCTTGAACCCTGCGTGGAAAAAGCTCGGACGCGTTTTGGCGATAGAGTGCGAGGAGTTGACTCGTATGTTCTCGGATGTGAAATGCACTAGAGAGAATCGCAACGGAACTGCCTAGCTGGCCTGGGCGTGCGGTAAGAGCATAAACGATTCAAGTGGGAACGGAAAACTGACGTATTGTGTTGACAAAATTTTGCAGCTGAGCGCATGAGCGCGACGACTGGAGCTGAAGTGGTACAAACTTGCCTGCTTGTCGAGCTGTTCCAACTTGCTGTCAGGAGTCAAAAGAGCGCACAGACACAAAAAGTCAAACAGCACTGCACCTTTCAAGCGACCTGAACTTCTCCGCACCAGCAGTCTGGCGATGTTCATCCACAGATACTGCTGTCACTCGGCATATGTGCTGTGTTCAGGTAGGTCACCACCTACAAACGTCCTTGTCATCCCCAGGAGGGGATTGCTCATCTGCACAGGCAACTGATTGAGATAATCCAACCAGTGCGATATCAAAACGCGTACCCGATGCCTTCAGGATCATCTCGACTAAGCTTAGGATCGCTTCGCGTCTGTTGTTCCCCGTATCACCCGACGCGTCGCTGACATATGAGTCCATCGATCGTGTAGGCGCATTTACGCGCATGGACATTGTATTTGTTCACAGGTGTAGACGGGACGGGACGGAGATTTCGTGCAGTGCTAGGTAAGTAAGAAGAGGAAGAGATGGCAAGTACTGCTGTATCGGACTTGATGCGGACCATATGCCTCTGAGGCGCTGCAACGTGTGACATGATGCCGCTGTAGACCTGTCGAGTCCGGAGCTTTGTGTGCCCGATGTTTGAACATGGTAGTCGACGGTGGGTGAGAACATGCAGAACTTGAACGAAAGGTGAGAGCACAGAATCAGGTGATCAAATTCCGAATGTGTTCGGAGCATCAAGCTTCAGATATCACCGAGCGCAAGTCCACGCCTATTCTGCGAACTGAGACTTTTACAGACATACAAGGAGGAGTATAGCTAGATAGAAAGTCGTAAATCGTCATAAAGGAAGGAAGTTACGGTAAGCGCGCAAAACTATATGCATGGGGTGTAGAGAATAAGAATAAAGGTTAAGTTAACGGGCAGGGCTATGTTATACAGCCCAATCGTCACCGCTGGTTCGGCCGATGCCACCACTCCATGGACTGATGCGCCCGGAAACTCGTTCCCGATCCTCCATTCCGCCACCGGCGAGACCTCCAGCAGCCGTTGCCCCGCCAACAAGCCACGACAGCCATCCGCTCGATTCTTCCTCGCCCCAGTCACTGGCGCTGCCGTCTCGAGCTCTGCCTTTGCCTTTAGCAGACTTGCTATGCCTTCTTGGTCGCTTCTTGGCGCGGCCAGTAGAACTCCATCGCTCACTCTCAGGGAGCTCGGCGAAACTGATTCGCTTAGGTGTCGATGCTCCACTCTCCGGCTTGCTACCAGCGAACGTGCTCCCCAGATAAGGAAGACTGAGATTCGGAAGCGACCAGAACGTCGTCGTCGGTAGTGTGCTTGGACCTGCCTCAGGTTCGACCGGTGTCCCAGGGATGCTGCCGCTCTTCTTCATTATGGACACCACCTTCTCGCTCTGCCGCACGCTATGTCTGCCACCTTTCGTGAACAGCCGAGACACGCTCGCAGTCGCTGTCGATGGTGCCGCCGTCGACGAGGGAGGCGGCGACCTAGGCTGGAACTTCCGTGATGGGCGAGGAGGAGGTTTGGGTGCTGCAAAGGAAAGGTCAGTTTTCTGCATATCATATAAGTCTGATAGGCACACACCTTCGTCCAAGATCTTCCTTAAAGCTGACAGCGCTTCCCTAGCCCTGCACTTGCCCTTGCCCTTGCCCTTGACATCAACAACTCTCCCCTCGCAATCAGATTCGGATTCAGACGACGGTGATGAGTCAGGCGATTCTGAAGGCAGCCGCGCGATGATACTCGCGCTAAGATTCGCATGGTTCAGGAACGGTCGTTCGGGTGTTACTGTCAAGTTTGAACTGGGACTTTCGCCGTCTTCTTGACTCTCTTCTGGCACCGGACTGGCAACTCTCGGCCCCGGCGTATGCGAGCGCGAGCTCAACCCAAGTGACGAAGACCGCGAGGAGGATCCTCTCGACCGTCCTCTGATCGATGATTTCGGCGGGCTTGAGACAAACGAGCTGAGCATAGTGTATGCCGGCGTCGATGGCTCTGGGATGCGCGTGGACACGACAGGCATAGCTCCAGATGACATCGACATCGGGAATCCAGTCGGAGGCAGGCCCGATATCCCGAGTCCCATACCTCCATGCACACGTGGGGGTAGCCCACTGAGCTCACTGACAGTGGAGTTGCTGCGTACAGAATCGTATCCACCTTCCAAGTGCCAATCGCTTGCGGCAGCCCTCAATCCCAACGTGGACGGCAACGTGATGTGCTGTTGTTCCTCCTCGCTACCTGCCACAACAAACTGCGTCAGTGCGCGAGGGGCAGGTGAAACAAGTCGGATGCGTGATGAAGGCGCCATGTGCAGGCCAGGTGAAGACAGCGTGGTTGCTGCATTGGAGTAAATGGACGAGGGCCGGGAATGATCAAGGGATGGTCGCCGTCGCGGTCTGCGCTGAGCAATGGGCGAGGATCCGGTTGCGGGCAACGACGAGCTGACAAGCAGTTCGTCGACATCCTTCACAATTGCCGCAAGGTTCGCGGCCCAAGGCTCTTCAGAGGGTTCTTGCCGAGGCTCCACACGTGTACGCGATAACGTTCGCGATATGGGCATCGGCACGGAGGGGGTCGGCGACGATTGAGCGTCGCGGAACGTAGAGGAGGATGGAGTCATTGACGACTGCAGAATTGCGTTGGAAAGTTCCAGCGCGTGCACGCTGCGCTCCAATAGCGAGTCCAGAAAAGCATCTTGAGGACGCTGCGGAGGACTCGAGGCACGTCGGCGGTGCTTCCGGGCGGCTGCAGTCAGGCGCGGGGATACAGGTGTCGGAGGTACATAAGAATTTCCTCCCGCGTCAACCACCTCCTCCTCTCCTTCCGTACCCTCCTCGTCTGCATGGTCCGCGTCTGAATCATATTCAGGTGGTGGGATCAAATCCCTCCATGACGCGACATTGCCATCTGGGTACTCAGGGAGCGTGTGGGTCGTGTCGGCGGACAGTCGGAGTGATAGTCGCTTGCGGTGTGTGCGACGCCCCGGACTGGTGGCCATCGTGCGGGAGGGGAGGAGGGAAGAAACAATCTAACGAGGGAGAATCAGATCCACTTTCTGATTTCTTTCCAAACACGTAACATCACCTACCAACTGATGTCACCGATCGAGAGACCCGGACGTACCTTATAACCAGCCGTTCCACCGACGGGACCGCATGCCGTGGCCCACACCGTCTTCATCGTCGGTGAAGTGAAGCTTGTGACGCGACGGGCTTTCATGTTTTAGTTGTATGTACGTACGGGCGAGCATAACGCATTAACCATGGCCTCTCCTTGTCTAATATATACACATGCCCTGAAGAAATACAGCTACGACTACTCATCCTTGTAATCCTCGTCGTCGTCCCCAACATCAAATATGGGGGGACCTGTCGCCCGCTCCTTTCCCTTTCCCCTCGGTCCGCGTGTTTCGTCATCGTCTTCCAAGTCCTGGCGCGAATTGAGTGGGATGCTCTCATCCCGGTCCCGGTCCCGCTGGTCCACAGGCAGTCGAGGACTCCGGGCTCGCCGCATTCGACACCACACGAAGATGCCGATCGCGGCGAATATGACGGTGAGCACCAGAGCGGCGGAGCCAGCGTTATAGTAGGCTATATGCGGAGACCGGTGAGCGATTGTGAAGCACAAGTGACTGCAAGCTGGCAAACCTTCCCACATGGCTTTCGCCTGTTGCGGGCTCTTTCCGGCATCTGCTGGTGTTGTGGATGTTGTCGCTGGTGCATCTTGTACGAACATAGGCTTAGTCACTGTTCCTAGGCTGCTCGGAATTTTGGCAGTGCCACCAACGAGGGTAGTAAAGTTGACACCGATGAACCGCAGAATCATATCATGGGTGACGTGCGGAAGATCGTAGGGAGCCATATGAGAGGCATTGAAGATCTGACAGGTGTTATGAATTGAGGTAACTGATGAGGGAAAGACTCTCTACCTTCGCATAAGTCAGGTTGCGGGAAGAGACCCAAGTTCCAGCAGGCACGTCTGCTACGCTCCAGGATTGTGTTTGAACGGTCTGCAGGCATTTTCAACGCTGCGAAACAGCCATGTCGCAGTGAAAGCTTACTCCAAGTCCCTTCGCCCCATTCCATTCCATCGCCGCAATGATAGCCTCCATCCCCACATAGTTGCAGATGAGATCCTGGTCTCCCGCAAAGAGCAACACAGGAATCTGCGAAAGGACCTTGGGCAACACGGTGATTGACGATGCGACCTTACGCTCCCTGAATTCCTGGTGGATCCTTCCACGGCACTCGACCCACGATCCCGGGTGTCTATCAGCATGTAATGCGCGAACGACATCTGCACGCTGGATTGACTGTCAGACAGATCCCACCCGAAACAAGGAATGACGGACACCAAGGTAGTTGGTGACCGGATGAATAGGAGCCGGCCAATTCATCCCACAGGCGGGCATAACATCGTCCAACCGAACATCGTAGATGTTGATGCACATTTGACGGCCATCCACACTAGTTCAAGTTTGTTAGCTGGCAGATGTAGATTCTTAGGACAAGACCTATGTACATTCTTTCTCTGACCGCAGTGACGTCGAGTAGGAGACCTTCGCACCCACTAGCGACGATGGGTTCCTTGGGATCCGTGATCTTGTTCAGGTCAGCCATGCACTCGTCCGTCCGCGCCTTGGCACGTTTCCAAGGCTATGATGCGGTTCAGCTTGTCATTCTCCAGGTAAATAAACAGTCGCACCTCGGTATTCTCCTCTAAAATCCCGACCTTCACAGCATAGTCGAGATACGACGGATATTGCCTTCTCGCGTCAATCCAGCCATTCCCGATAGCGATGCCGCGAAGCCCGACACCGAGTTTCGAACTCAGAATGCCATCGGCTGGAAGAACAGTCAGCAATGGCTCCTTCGATAGCAACGATGTATACCAAAGTAAGGAATCCATTGACCGGCATAGCTTTCGCCCCCAAGATAAGTCTGTGCAGCATTCAAATTTTAGAGCACCCAGTGAGAGGAAACGATAACGCACGTCCATGTGCTGGTATTCAGGGAATACTTTGTAGAAGTTTCCCAGGAATTCCATAAATTGGGCGACGGCCTGGCTGGATTAGGATATATAATCGCAATGCTAGGGCAGACACACCTCTTCCATCGTGTGGACGTACTTGTCCGAGCTGCCGTATGAGAACCCTGTCCCGACAGGCTGGTCAACTGGACACGACATGAGCATGCTGCGATAGTCCATCAGTCGAGGACGGCGAACCGTAGACCACTGTCATGTATTCCTCCCATCCACCCTCTTCGACTTTGAAGCCGCCCTTGCCATCCATCCTCCACGGTCCAACCTCCATCATGAGGCCATCGAAGGACGAGCACCCTGGGCCGCCATTGAACCAGAACATTACCCGCTGCTTGTCCGCCACGCGTCGATTCTTCACGAGTACGAAGTACAGATGAGAAGTCACATCCTTCGCGTTGGCCTTGGCAGCGTCCGGGTCCGCTTGTATGTGACCCGCGAAGATAGTCAATGGGTTATTGGGGTCTTGGTGGATGTCTGGTATTGACGGCACGTAGAAAGATGCTGCGGATGGGACTACGCGAACTCAGATGAGCTCATGCAAGTCTGGCTTGAGCTGAACTCACCATCCGTCGGAGCTGCATTGGAACCGAGGGCAGAGAAAAGGCCGAATGCGAGGGCCAAGCAGCGCGCGCGAACCATGGTCGGCAAGGCGAGAAGTGCAAACAGTGTGTTTTCAATTAGGCGACGTTGCCGTGCCACCGCCAAATGAACGTCAGCCAAAGAGGATGGGGTTTCGGTACAAGAAGTAAGATTGTCCCGTGAGTTCAGCACTTTCGGAGCACGACCTGCGCGGTAGATTCCGTCTGTGCGTGTGCCAGCGAGGGAAGAGATATGATGGTGATCGAGATCACCCAGGTTATCACCTAGATCAAATGGTGTGCCTGGGCACCTACCCACCTCCCTTTTGCACCACCATGAAGGTCCTGACCGTCCTTGCCTTGGCCGCATCTGCGACGGCGCAGTATTTCTCTGAGGGCTGGAGGCCCGGGCAGGCCGTCACCGCCGAAGGTGCTGCGCCCACGTTCATTCGTGGGCCGCCTGGAGGTCCTGGCACTGTTCCCAAGAAGCCAGCGGAGCCGTTCAAATTGACAGACCTGCTCGACATGAACAAGCTCGCTCAGACCGAGCTCGTTCAGAATCTCTTCGACAAAGTCGGCGTCAACATCTCCGAGCGAATGGAATTGGTCAACAAGCTCCCGTGGGATCCACGTATCCCTCTTATCACGGACGCCAACTATGTGGACATGATAGTCAACGAACCTCTGACCCCAGAGGAGGAAGAGGACAGGCTCTGGATTATTCTCGTGTACGAGGCCCATGCTCTTGCTTATCTTCAATCGAAACTCACACTCCACAGTTCTGCCGCGACAAACCGGCAGGAAGGGCTTTCCAAATTCTTCGACGAGGCTTTCGACACAGCCTACAATGACACTCTGCTTGCCGGCGATCTCCCCCATGTCCGTTTCGCCCGCATTGACTACCTTAACGTCACATACGTCACCACCAAATGGAACCTCTGGGTGTATGTGCTGTCGTACGACCAGTGAATGCAGTCTCACTAGCGTATTTGCAGCGCACCGTCTATCGTTGTTCTCAAGGACCGCGGTCAGACTCTCCGTTTCTACCGGTCCAACCAGCTCCGGGTCGCTCAAGGTGCCCTACGCGAGTTCTTGAAGCAGGATGGATGGATGTTGACCACTCCGTGGTCATCCGCTTTCGCCCCTGGTGGCAGCCGGTTGGTGTTCCCCACATACTTCCAGGATTATTCTGATGTTTTTCCGTGCAGGGAGTTCGTGCTCGAATATTTTGCCAAGTCGCTGACCACGGTCTACCTTTGGACCATCAAGGTCCCCAAGTTTGTCTTGATCATCCTTTCCGGCAGCATGGCTTCATTCTTCATCAACATCTTCCACGGATGGGGTGGCACGAACAAGCCTCAGGCTAAGTCTCAGCCTACGCCCCAGGCCATTCCGGCAACAACCACTCCTGCCGCGGCCGCTCCTTCGACAGCCGTTGCACCTGCTCCTGCCTCACCAAGCAAGGCAAAGCAACGCAAGGGCAAAGGCAAAAAGTAGAAGACTCTAATGATGGGCGTGTCGAAAAAGGGTTTCATGACGACAAGGGCAAGTCAAGGATAAGCTATGTACTTACGATCCTGACACGAGTTAGACCTGTACTGCTACTTTCAGTAATCAGTAGTTTGCTGTATGTACTTACTCGGCGTGTTATAATGCAAATCTAGTGTAGGCCATGCCGTGCTGAAAAACAACGATGCCCCGTGCTCACATGCTGTCGCAGACGGGCCCTGGTCCACATTGCGAGCATCAGAGGTCACCGACGGACCACACAAACATATCTGATTCTGCCAAGGGTGCCAACCTGATTCCGGAAGCTCAATTGTTCCTCAAATCCCCGGGTCATGGCCGATTCCCAATAGGCACTCTCGCCACAGATAGTCGTTCGCATCGGCCGAGGTTACGATGTCGCAATGATGGCTTGTATTGCTCTATAGAGCGCGCAGTCTACGAGAAGGAGATATATCGACACTGCCGACGCCCGCTCCGTCTTCGTTCACTCCGAGCTGGGACCGCCCTTTCCCTAACCAGAAATCAGCACAGACGCAGGGAAACCAACGACAACGACGAACGTAGCCAGTGACGAGACATCCCGCGCCGTAGAGCGAGGAGGCGAATCCGAGGCTGAAAAGGGTGCCATACACGGCTGAAAAACGCGCCTGTCAGTCCCGCCACACACACAACCCACGAAGATGACGCACTGAGAGTGGCTTTGGCACCAGCGGGGCGCAAGAAGATGGGTCGCGGGTCAGCCTAGCAAGCACAAAACATCAGGAACCCGTATCCCGCCGTCGCCGCGCAAAACCGACCTGGTATTGCTTTTGCAGCTGGAGTACCCGGTTTGGTCCTATAGGGCAGAGTCTCCTTTAGTTGATCGATTTTCGATCGCGATGGAGGTACACGCACGGTTGTAGATAAAGCTGAGGAGAGCCATCGCGGTCGACGTCGAGGCACGGAGTGAGCAGGAGGTTATAGTCGGAGATGATTCAAACTCCGATCGAGGGCCGGTCCCGGCCGGAGCGGGCTGGAACATCAGGCATCAACGCCGTGATGCTGCCGCAAGTCTGGACTGTGATTGAAATTTCGAGTTCGCAGCTTGTCTCTGAAGTCATGGCTCCCATCTCTAATTGAAGCCACTAGCACAATTCCGTTTTCTCCAGTTGTCACGGATTTGATAGCGAGTGTTATCCACTGGAATGCGTGATGTGTTTTTTGATCTGCAGTGGCTTGACACGGAGCTCTCTAGATCTCAAGTGGAGGTCACAAGTGATGACTGACTCGATCTAACAACATAATTTGAAATCTATCCGCCGTCGTGAAAACGGCAACACATCATACACCGAGCGCTTCGTTATTCTGAGACGTAGCGTTTCGCACCGCAGCTCACGCAAACCTCGCGATCTCCCGCTTCTAGCAGCGGCAACCTGGGACCGGCCTCAGCCTCTGAGGTCTCTTGCAGGCCGGTGTACAGCAAAGCCAACGCCGGGACAATGTTCTTCCACGGAGCAGTCAGCCAAGAAGATGCAGATTCGAGTCTGTACGCACAAGCATATGTTTTACGACGCCCGTCGACACGAGGTACGTCACGCCTGCCGTGTTGGGCTGGACTAGGAGGCCTATGGCCATGCCGACCGTGCAGATAGTGTATATCGCGCCAGATTCCGTGCTGCAGAGAACACCCGGCTTCAGATCGAGCCCAACGGATCTCAGAACAGACTTACATTATCAAAAGCGCCTTCCTGTACCGTGTTCTGACGCCAGTGTTTGTCTTGAAGACCACTGCAACCCGGTGGGCGCTCCATATCTTGTAAGCTGAGCATATTGTGAGCATCACCGCGTTGATGTACATTGAGGCTTCGTACCGGTGAGGCAAGTCAGGCAGATGTTGGTGACCGTCCCAAGAAGCGCAGGGACTATTGCGCTCAAGGCATGGGCCGATGCCGACATCGAGCTATTTTGGGCCTGGATGGCCGCCACAAGCGCTGTGGCTGGGATGCTCATGTCGATCATGACAGAAAATCAGCACGATGGGTGTACACACCGGTCGTCGCGAGAATCAACAGCACCGGGGCTATGAGGACGGCCCTGTTTCGTTCCCAGACCACGAAGCATCGGTACATCTGCGGCCCCAGATAAGCCAATCCCGCACAGAGCGACCCAGCCGGTCCGAAAGACGCCTCACAAGGAATATGTCTGTCACGAGACTATAATTCTGTGATCAGTCGGGCGGACGAATGCGTAACGCACTCGGATACGCACACATTCACGCATAGAAACACGTTCGACGCGATGTTAGAGGCAATGTAGGCCTCATATGCCCTCCCTGGCGTCACCCCCTCAGGACTGAGCAGCGTCACCCACACCACTGCCATCCGCACAACGTCGAGTACCGTCTGCGTTGTCCCGAGAACGAGGCCCGCAGGGAGCACGATATATACGAGCCGCTTGGCTGACGGGCTGCGACGAGATCCGGCCCGCGCGTAGACGTACAACGTCAAGATCGCAAGACAGAGATATATTCCTGGTCGTCGGGAGTCAGCACACTGGACTGCGACGCAAGACGCGCGAACCGTAGAGAAATAGCGACACCTTCAATCGCGTTAGCAAAGCCAAAGTCCGGAATAAACTTAGGAACCCACCGCGGTTTCAGCGGTGTAAATGGTGAGGTCGGTGACTGCTTCAGACATGAGCATAGATAGTTTCGCGTCAGACTGGGGAAAAGAGATTCTGGAGGAGAGGGTCTCGCCAATTTTTGAGCATTGCAGATAGTTTTCTCATGTCGATTAGGTATCATGATAGCGTCGCACAGCCAAAAGATCAGCGCGCGCTGCTGGTAATAGATCACTGTGGAGGTGGATCATTCAAGATGATCGTGCATATACTCTCGCGGGCTGACTAATCCTAGTCTCAGGGCGGGATCAAAATCCTTGCTATTCCTAAGTAACTGTAAAATACAATTTAAGTATGGACTAATACAATCGTGGCTGTGATACCTCAAAGTACTAATAGGGAGGACCAGATAACAAAGAAATGGGACGCTGACCAACTTTATCGCTCAAAGTCCTGAAATGATGAGCAGCAAGGCAAGCATAGCGCTCCAGGGCAGAAAGAGCTTGAGGAGATAACAAGTTTGCAGCAGAGGTTCATTGAGCCGACAGAGCCCCCTTTGCAGGAGCGACTTCGTTGAAAGGCAGTTGAGGCGACCGGATCACATCTCGCACATCTTTAGGTGCAAATGCGCCGGCAGTGTCGATGGCCGACCGCAGCAAGTCCGTTTCTGTTCTCGGCGCAACTGGATGTGAATGTGATGATCTGGACACAAATACCGGGATAACGAAATCAAGTCGCAAGTACACGAAACACAAAATACGAACCGGCGGCGTTTGGGATCCGGCATCTCCGGGGAAGTCGCGTCGGATTTACTGGGTCCCTGAAAACAGTCAGTCGGCCAAACCAGAGTCGACGTCCGAGCGCACCTTGGATCGCTTCTGGACGAGTTTGGGTGGTCTCTCTCCTGGCTCGTACACATAGTCTGGCAATGCCGAGCTTGAAAATAGTCTTCTCGTCAGCTGTGTCAGAAATGTCAATCATTCTGCCGACCTCTTGATATGTTGCACTACAACGCTCATCGACGTTTCATCAAACTTCTCCCAGATCCTGACGAGTTTGTTAAACTCTTGTGTGGGATAGGAAATGTCTAAGCGTCTCGGTCCGGAAGTACCCGCTGCACAAGGGTGAGCAGTTGAGCTGACCAGGTAGACACACACCTCACCTTGCTTCGGTTCGATAGCAAGCCCGATGTAGAAAGTTGTGGAATAGACCACACTACCGGTGTCTCTTCCGTCCATCTCTTCCTTCTTGCGCTTCAAAACAGCATCCGAAATCTCGCCTAGCGCGACCTGCCGCACTTCCTCATCCGTGAAACAGTACAGAGTTTGCTCAAAGCCTCTCGTGAAGGGGTGCGCCAGAATGAGCGAGTCGACATACTCGAGCTTCATCACCAACTGTCGTATTCGAGATTCTACAGTGCCAGCCCTAATTGCCACATGAGGGCGCGGCTGTGAAGTAGGTCAGGGCCACGCACCACTTGATTTGTAGATCTGAGTTCCCCGTCGACGCGATCACTTGCAGGTAATATCGGTACTTGTGGAAAAAGTCGTGCTTGGCGAAGAGCTTAGACCAGTCCGCTTTGCCCACGATCACTCGGTCCACCACGTCGGCAGCTGCACACAAAATCAGTAGACTGGACTGCAGTGTCCTACAGCGCATCGCTCACCTTTCTTAAACTCCTCCGTCATGATCAATTGAGTCGACGCTGTCACATTATGAGTAGAACACATTGCAGGATATGCTGGCGTTATTATCGGCATTCTGTGTGATCGATCCGCGGGATACAGCTAGAGACAGTTAGGTCGATCGTGCAAAGAGCGTGGACTATATTACCTTGGGATTCCATACTCGGACCTGTAATGGTCCTTCTTCGATTTGTTTGAGTAGTACAGGTTGAGGCCATGACCTGGTCGATAATATTAGTGGCGACCCTGGACCAAGAAGCACCCATGCTCACCATCGGTACATTATTATAAAAAACCTGCTGACTATCGCTCCAGCGACAGCATTAGGATATAACTGGCATATTCTGGCGACGAGCATAGCCCATGCAACACCACCCAGGAAGCCATTCACATTAGAATAGATGGCTCTCCCTACGAAAAGATGGATCAGCCAGTCGACTGAATCGAAAGAAGATGACCAACTCTGAGCCCATAATTTAATACACCTCAGCGAGTCTCGGAACACATCGACATTGGGAACCAGCCTCAAGATTTCGTCGGTCACCCGAGAGCCTTGCCGTCTTCAGCAATAGCACGATGGAGCGAGGAACATGGGAACACACCTCCCAGACTCCGTACACATCGTTCATCCAGATTTCGTAGCAGCGTGTCGTCTCGTAGCGAAAGGTCATCGGGTATTGAGGACAAGGCTAGCCTGGCCATTAGAAAGTCCAGCGGAATACCCGAAACTTTGGCCTTGATAACGGGCACGTAAGCTTCAGGGACACCCTGATCCTCTCGTCAGCAAGATGTGCATACAACTCCGACCCGCCGCGCGCACCGAAACCTCCGTAACGCCATCCATGGCCTTGAGCATTGGCTCGAAGACGTCGAAAAAGTCGTCTCGCGAGACGTGCTTCGGAACGACGCACAGCGTGTCGATATCCGACCCGGGTCCATGCACACCGAGCCGGTAGGATCCAAACGTGAAGATCTTGCCGCCCGCCGCAATCGCCGCAGTTTCCGAGAGCCCTCTCGCCATAGAGACCTTCTTGACGAACTTTTTCACCAGCGCGGCCACACGGCCCAAAACCAGTTCCCTGTATCACAGCGTCAGAGAGCTTGGTCCACATGGGCAGGGAACGACAGCAGCGATGATCGGAGCCACAGACCGCACCCATACGGGACACACGGACGACGCCGTGCCACCGCGAAGCAGGCGTTCGGAGCATAGCCCGCAGGAGATGAAGCAACCGAGTTGTGGAACCAAACGTCATGCGTATATGTGCTCACCTCTTGCGCGATTCCTCCTCCGTCTCGAATGTATTTTGCGTCCGGAGCTCCTCCATGAGCGTCTGCGTCACTTCTTTCTCCCGCTCGCTCGACTCGGTTGTGGCGATGGGGGGCGTAACTCCCAGATATCTGGGAACGAGTATCAGGATAGCGGCAATGGACGATCCGTGCACACTCGTACTTTTTGTTCGCGGCCATAATGAGACAAGCCGACGTGCTGGTGTTCTTTGTGTGTGAGTTGCGGTCGAAGTCCGCAGTTATGTGCAGCAGAATGTCCTAATGGTCGGGACAAAAGGATCTCAGTCAGGTGATCACTGTATAATTGATATCTTGCTCGACGTCAAGCTCCGAGTCCGAGCGTCTGAAGGACAGTGAATGTATAGGTGAATGCAGAACAGATGTAGGATGTGATGTCTCTAAGGATGTACGATAAATGCAATGTTCTACATGGGTCCAAGCGGAAGCGGATACATAAATATAGTAATGTTAGTGCGGAGTTAGTGAGCGAGTTTTGACTCGGGTATGAATGTCGGGGAACTTGAGGACAAAGTGGTGAGCTGAGTCAAGACGACTAGCCGTACTTGACATACCCAGGACCCTGACCCGGTACCATCTCCTTGCTGGAGTTGAACAGGCGTTTTTGCTCCATCCGTCGGAGTGCCCACTTGCGCATAAACCAAAGTACAGCAGCAGCGGCTCCGAGACCGAAGATGACTCCAACAACGACGCCGGCAGTAGATCCTTTGGAATGCGACGTGGATTGCGATCCACTTTGACCGGCACTAGGTGACGATCCAGAAGACGACGAGCCAGGATCGCCTCCGTAGGGCCAGAAATCTCCGCCAGATGGGGGGAGGACGCAAGTTAATGAGCCCGCATCCGCGATAAATTGGAAATCGTTCTGTAACTTGTCATTCGAGGTCGAGTTATCGAAGACAAATGGAGCTGGCGTGGGCACAATATCCAAAGTCGAGCAATTGGGACCGGAAGCGCCAATGAACGAGGTATTGCCGAACAGCACGTTGTTCTCTACCGTGAAGCCGACCGCCGAGCTCACGGCAATTCCGTAGCTGAATGCGCCAGACAGCCGGTTGTCTCGGACCACCCCGTTGATGCTGACATTGTTAAAATATCTGGGACCGAACCAAGTCCGTGGGCCAATTGCGATGCCGATCCTGGGGACTCATGAGCATCGTCACGGAACACTAGCGGAAGAAGATCGACAGACTTGACAACAGCGTCAGCAGCATTGACTCCTTTGGTGTTCGAATTGTCATCTGGACTGGTCGCATAACCGCCGAGAATAGTGTTGTTGTAAACCACGGTGCCGGTGTAGTTCCCCTGCCACGGGTCGTAATCTACGAGATTGATCCCGCCCAATAACGTGTGCTGGAGCACGCTGTAAGCACCATGACAAAAGTGTTCAGGACTTGCTTACGTTTGTGACCCAGACCGTGTTGTTATATACCTGTGTTCCAGGTGCACCGAAGAGGACGATCCCGCCGTCCGTCGGGCCCTGCACCATGTTGTTCCGCACGACACTGTTCTGACAACTGACACTGATTCCGTCTGCCCACTCCTGGAAGGTGTCCGTCCCACAGGGCCCGATGTCATTGTTTTGAATGGTGACATTCGTGCAGGTGAAGGGACCCTCTGCGATGTGCAGACACGACCAACTGCGCGGGTCAAAGGACCTGACGAATTGGACAGTCTGGTTAGCGTTTCCACCGCCAAACTCGATATTCGCCCCGCCGTTCGTCGGAGACGCGTTCCCTCTGGCTCCGTTGATCTGTTCCATTCATTGTGTCAGAACGAGATAAAGCTATTCCGGGAAATGAATGGAAGCACCTGAATGTTTCGCAGCACAATCCCCGAGCACTGAGCACATGTTCCATCGACGGCAGTAGTCATTCCAGAGCCGTTCTGCACCACTCCGTTCACAGTCAACAACGCGCGCGAGTTATCGGTGGGATACCCTGTGGTGCTGATCTCCTGGCCTGGCGCAGCAAAGCGGAGGGTGTCTTGGAGCACATACTCCCTGCCGGGACACAAGCTGAGCGTGTAGCCTGGCCCTGAGGAGTTCAGGAGCGTGTTGATACGATCTGCAACGGTGTTGGCCGGGTCCGGACTAACGCAGGCGTCTCGCCGTTCCACAGAGTCGCTTCTTTATTGAGCTAAGCCGACGTTCATCCGGCCTCGCAGGACGCCCTCACCTGAACTCGACTAGCTCAGAATCGTGTTGACCGTGTCGCGTAAAACGGTGGGACATGGTGCCTATCAGGGTTTGGGCAAAAGGAGCGTAGAGAACGGAAGGGCGGTGTCGCAGGGCAGAAGACGAAAGGGCGGGGAAAGGGCCCTGGCGAGTCCTAGGGACGCGGGCAGGATGAAGGTGGAGAACAGAGACAGGAAGTGAAGGTCAATCTTGGCTAATTTTACACCCCGATCACACATGCCGATTGACGCTCCATCTGCCATTCAGGCAGCGCCTCCAAGTGGCAGCAGCCCCGCACAGATAGGGATCCCAAGGATGCTTGCATTTTTGGTATGTAGGGTCAAGAGCAAAGTGGGTGACGCGGGCAATAAGGTGCTAGCACATGCCCATGCTTCTTTACGAAGTCGGGTTTAATGCACCGCCGCCAACGTTGATTTTGGGCATAGTAATACAGCTGTTACGTCTAAGTTCTAAGTCTAGTGAAAATGATCATCTGTGTACAATCTGACCAGCCTGGGCAATGTCAGAAGGCTCTCCTTTTCTCCAAGTGAAGGTCTCGAGCATACACGCGCCGTGCCAAGACTTCAGCCACAGGTGATTCCAGTCCTGGATAGGATCTATTGCGCTTGGGGACTCTTATCCCCCGCGTCCTTCCCTTGAATGCATACAAAGCCACGCAGCTGAAACAAAAGAGCAGAAGTAGCCCGCGAAGAGTCCAGCTGGATGATGTCGGAGTATCCCGAAACGCGCGGGCGACTGCGGACGAGCCTGGGGAGGTTCCCACAGGCCAGTAAACCGACTCGGCAGGGGCAAGCATGCATGTCAGCAATTCACCCGTGGCAACAGCTTCAAACCCCGGCTGGAGTGTGTTTTCGGATGCAGATGTATCATATATGAACGGAGCGGGAGCAGGTACGATGTCCCCACTGTACTCGCACTCCGGTCCCGGCCCTCCAATGAACGTGTAATTGTCGAAAAAGGCGTTTTCCTGGACGACAAAGTTGTTCGCTGAGCTTATGGCAATTCCATACATGAAAGCGCCTGAAAACCGATTGCGAATAACGGTCCCGGATGTCGTGACATTCTGGTAAGCTTGTGCACCGAACCATATCCTCGGGCCAATCGCTATGCCGATTCTATGCACGCTTGATCAGCGAAAAAAATGCACAAGCGCAGCAGCACCTACTTGATGATGCCCAGTTCTGACGAGTCATCCATCCGAAACCCCCCAACAATTGTGTTATCGCGCACGACCGTCCGCGAGAGGTCCCCTCCCCAGGGAAGATAATCGACCAGATTGATTCCGCCCAATAAAGTTTGCTGACGAGCCCAGTTAACGCAAAAGCAGAAGGATCCGCGAGATGTTGCTCACGTTCGTCACCCAAATCGTGTTGTTGTAAACCTCCGTGCCGGGCGAGAACACGACAATGCCGCCGTCGGACGGGTTGTGCACTCGATTGCCGCGCACGACACTGTCCTGGCAGCTGATGCTGATCCCGTCCGCCCATTCGTCCTCGATGTCCACACCACACGGACCGATGTCGTTATTCTGTATCGTCGCATTCCTACAACTAAGCGGACCCTCCGTGACGTGCAAGCAGGACCAGCCGCGCGGGTTATACGACCGCACGTATTCCACGACCTGATGGTCGTTCACGCCGCCCATTACGATATTCGCCCCGGAGCCCTCCCGAGCGGGAACGGAACTCCCGCGATTACCATCAATCTAAGACCATGAGCATCTCCGAAAGCAGCTGCATGGGGATGCACAACGCACCTGGACGTTGCGTAACACAGACCCGGCGCACCCAGGACGCGTCCCATCCACCGCGACGCTGTGTTCACCCGAAGGTCCGCTCACGACGAGCGTCGCTCGGTCGTCGCCCGTAGGATATCCCAAAGTGCATATTTCCTGGTTCTCAGCGCCGAACACCAGCGGTTGGTCAAGCAGATATCGTTTTCGCGGACACAGCCGTATCGTGTGGCCGGGGCCTGAGGTGCGCAGGAGAGCGTTGATACGAGTCGAGACAGTTTCCGAGGGTTCTGGGTCGATGCAATCGTGTTGGACAGAGGTCGATGGCCCGCTCGGAGTCATGGTATGAGCGTTCATCGCAAGTTTGCCATAGGGGGATTGGGAGATCGGCGGGGTAGTTGACACGATAGGAGGGCGGGGCGGAAAAGTATCTTGACACTGTCGGATGACAGATGTTCAAGTCTTGGTTCGAGTGAGACTATCCGTGATTGGTGGCGCCGGACTAGGAGGTCGTGCAAGAGCAGAATTGTCGACGTCAACGTCACAGTGATTGAGTGAGTGTGACGAGAGGGTCACATTCGTCTCTCCCATCTTGCATGATCATTGAATACTGTGCAATCCGGGTTTACAATCCATTCCTGACCCGCCTCATGGATCCTCACGTCCGGCATCTTTCTCATCCCTATGCTTCTATAGTCTGGTCAGTCAGGGGTGAATGGAAAGAGACGTAATCCTCCCCAGCTCCCCTCCTGTTCTCCGTGGCGATGTGCTGTCGACGCCCTCAATCATCAATCTATCTTCATCTGTACCTCAAAGCGCTCAGAGCGAGAGAAGGCCCAGCTCAATTTGCTCTTGACCGGCTCGAACGTGGGGATGCACTACTGCGACCACTCACTCAGTACCCGCTGTGGCTGGGAATTCAAGGAAGACATGGACTTGGCTGAGGAAACCCGGCAAACAGAACCACTTTCTAGCCCTGCTGTTTGATATACCTTATGCTACAGCTCCACAGTCTTTGCCCCTGATAACTACCCGTCTCGCATCTCCAGCGACTTTGGGAAACCATTGACTCTCCTCTCTTTCAAGCCAGGACCCGGACCCGAACAGCTGGGGATTGACTCGGAATAATTCTGCGGCTTACTATGTTGTCCTATCTGCATCGCCTTTCTCTACCGGGCCGTCTGCCTGCAGATGAATAGCTGTATCGAGTAAGCAAGAAAGTGAACATGATGTGCCGTGATAAGAGATCCACGAAACATGGCTCACTCCAACGGGGGATGGCTCTCTGTCCTTCCTGCCGCTTTCGCACAACACTGATGTCGTGACTGTGCTGTACTTACGCTGCCTCATCTCCGGGCCGCTTCTGACAAGGAATCCGCAAGCCGAAGCATTCTTTCCAACACCGAAATGCGCCGTCTCTCTATTGGTTGTCTCTCGTCAGAAACCGCTGCTGTCATAACTGCTTCGACACCCAGAGTCCGTCTTATTTAATCCCGTTACACTGCTGCTTCATCTCCATGAGGGAGGGCATCCAGGCTCAAGCAGGAGTGCAAACATCGACTCGAGAACCTTACATATCCGCCTCGACTCGAATCATTTCATATGCTGTATCTCACCCTGACGTTTTTTCTGTAGACCTTGGCGATCTCATTTTCAAGTGCCCGGTTGATGTGTCTCGGCTGCAGAGCTATGTAAGACCACGGTCTGCGCTCACACGTCCCTTCGCAGAACCAAGGACATGTGCCAATACGATGTTGTTCATGGAACCAAGAATTTCGATAACGCGGTCTTCCAGTCTGATGAGGCGGCATCCAAGTGTGTTCGGGCTCGACCGCAGACGTCACCCCAGTATCACATATGCAACCGCTGGTCAGTGGTCTACGCGTAGAGCGCTGCATCGATAAGAATGATCTCGTCCAACCGCAATTTTGCTTGAAGATCACGCCACACGATTCACATCGCCACTTTCTGTCCGCTGACCCGAAAAATCCCGACTGGTATGTGACCTTCTGCGCAACCAGAAAGAAAGGTGGCAGCAGCCATGTGGTTGATTAGGTATGAATCCATTCTATGATGACTTCGCAACTCAACGTTGCTACTTTTTTTCACTTACCTGAGAGTCCCGTGTCAAATCGGGAGAATACGGAGGAGAGTCCAGACCACTGACCGTTCGTTGGTCGCGACCGGAGCTAGGTGTTTCATCGGCGATTTCTCAAGGAAAGATGTTCTGTAGAATAGAATACTCGGGGAAAGTTCAGAGATCGTAGAGTAGAGCCAATGGCCAGTCACTGCCGTTTCAAACTGATCGTACTGATTGCTCGCGAAGTGTCGCAAGCAGCGACATGAAAGTGACATCAGTGATCGGAGAAAGCCGGGTTCACGTGCCGTACGTCATGTCGGAGGCTCGGAGAGCTGTTGTCACTGGAACCCGGTATAACTCGGTATAAAGGTTCCAGCTTGACTCCCCGGCGCATTACCAAGCTCGAAGCACCTCCATCCACACTCCTAGACTCGCCGTCGACATCTCCCCGATCGACCCACACAAACACACGCACCCACTCCCCGAGTCGAATCGCCATGAAGGTGCGCTGGCCGCGTTCATTTTGCGAGGACTACGGAGGGCGCTGACATTTTACGCGCGCCGTTTGACAGCTCGCCACGCCAGAACAGATCGCCGGCCACGACGCCGCCTCCCGCCGCGGTGCGATTGAAGGTACACTGACCGGCCTCGCCATCGCGGGTGCCGGCTCCTACTGGGCCCAGCGCCGATTCGCGTACTACCGCACTCTCCCTCCATCCCTCAAACTCCTCGGCGGCCTCATCGTCATCGCACCCGCTCTTTCCATCCAAGCGGAACGAAGGGGCCTGGAGTACGAGAAGTCGCAATGGTGCGTTCTGCTGGCTTCCTCGCGCTGAACGAGCGCTGATCGTGCGGTGCAGGGAAGGTGACGGCGCGAGACTCATCGAGCGACACGAAGAGCAGCAGCTCACCTCGTGGGAACGCATGGTATGTGGCTCTGGTTCCATGGAGGATCACCACTGACATCATCATAGTCTACCAAAGAAAAACTCGGCGATTGGGCTAGCCGACACGAATACTCTATCATCGTCGGCAGCTGGGCGTTGTCGCTCGCACTGGCCGGCGGTATCATCTCCCGCGACAAATACCAAACGACCGCACAAAAGATCGTGCAGGCCCGTATGTGGGCCCAGGGCCTCACGATCGGCATCATCCTCACTGCGGCTGCACTGAAGACCAACATGAACAAAGGCGAGGAGCCCAACATCCCGACGTCGGACCACTCGTGGATGGATGTGGTTCAGCAGCACGAGAGAGATCGGGCGGAGGAGGATGCGCGATTAAAAGTCCGGCTGGAGGCGGCCAAGGCACGAGGTGCACCAGACGTTCCCTCATAGTCTCCCTATTCTATCTTCCACCCATATCTACTCCACCAACGTTCATATTGTATCATAAAGCTCTGTCTAGAGTACGTACGAAGATCGCCTTGACCCCGCACAGTCTCTTGCGTGACTATGAGCAAATGTTTCGCGAAGATTCCCCAACCATCGCCAACAAGCTCTTCACGTTATCTAGGTTTCGGATCATCACACCATGTGCAGAGAGCGACGTGGGTGAACGCAACGAGGTTTGTACCGTCGTTGTCCCCTTCCTCGTCGGACTGAAAAGCCGAAGACTGGGTCTGGACGACGTGCGGCTGACACACATCTCTAATTATTATCTACTACTGATGTACAGGGGATATACTTATTGGAAAAAGATACAAGGAGTCCACGCCAATCCACTCACGCGGCAACGGCCTGGGGCTGGGGGACTTGCAGAGCTGCAGCGGCCTTCTCGGCCTCCGCCTGCATCTCGAAGAAGTTCCGATGCAGCCCGCACTCCGTCTTCTCCTTGCCCGCCCAGCGCCCCGCGCGCTCGTTCTCGCCCTCCTTGACCTTGGCGGTGCTGTGCCAGTCGCCGACGGAGCGGTAGCCCTGGTCGAGCAGCTTGTTCTTCGGGACGTTGTTCTCCGAGATGTGGTACTCGACGAACGGGAACGTCCACTCGAACAGCGGGTTGAGCTTCAGCAGACCCGTCTCGTCGACCTCGAGCGGCTGCAGGGACGCGCGGTCCCCGCCCTGCGATGCGCGGCGGCCGGTGATCACCGCCTGGACGCCAAGCTCTTCGTAGGCTCGCCGTGCGGGCTCGACCTGCACACGCGTGTCAGCGCCGCCAAGAAAAGTGAAGCGTGTGCAGCATGTGGCTGGCTCACCTTGACGGCAAAGTCGTACAGCTCCTCGTTCGACTGCCATAGCTCTGAGCCGTACTTCTTCTCGAAGTCCTCGGTCGTCTCGCAGCCCTTGGGCTTGTAGACGTTCACGGGGACGTTGTATCGCGCCTTCACCTCTTCGACGAGCTCGTAGGTTTCGGGGAAGTGGTACAGCGTGTCGAGGAAAATGAGAGGCGGGGGGGATTCTGTGATCTGCGAGAGCATGTCGATCGCAACGAGCCCCGTCAGGCCAAAGGCGGTCGTCTGATATAATCCAGGGACAGATTCCACTGCCCACTTCAGGATCTCCTCTGGTGTCAGGGTGCGCAGATGGGAGTTGATTTCATCGAGTCTCTCTTGAGAGAGAGGAAGCTGGAGCTTTGAGGATGAAGGGGTGCTCATGTTCGAAGATTTTTAGTAGTAGTGGTTGTGGGGGTGGGGAGATGGAGTGCGTGTGCGCTGCTTTTAAATTGAAGCTTGCGACGAAAGCCGAAGGATGACTATCGAATGGTGTTCAAGCACGCCATTTCACGCGATTGTCAGCTCCATATCAGGAAGCTGGATAGCCAAATGGGGATATTTGAAATTTGTCCGTCAAGTCTTACACAGCATGTGTAACCCTATCAGGTGAAAGTCAGGTGCAGAAGCGCCTAACGAGGGTTCTGCAGCGAATGGATGTCTATACTTCATTTGGATGTCTATGCTTCACGAAATAGGAGCGAGTTAGTCTAGGGGAATGCGACGAGTGTAAGAGATCCTGGGAACACTGTCAATTTCTTGGCAGCAACTCAACGGCCGAATCTCTGCTATTGGTCGTCCGCACGCGGAATGAACCGTTGCATCAAGGCAGCAAATTCGCGTGGGCTTCGGTCATGTCTTAGCCTTGGAACGCTTCACATGCAGAGTCACACGCACCGCTCAGAATGCACTGTAGTATGGAGGCCGGGAACTATATGCTGATAAACGGAGGACGTATCACTGATACGCGATAGTTTGCCGACATAGGATCAATTTCATGATGCGCTCCATGTCATGATGCGCTCTATCTGGACGGCTGAAAACGTTATACTAATGACCGATGTCTGAATCGTGGATGGCCGCTCGGCAGATATTGATCAGATGATTGACGCAATGATCAAGACCCCAGGTAGCCGACTATCGCAATATCGCAACATCGTAATATTCGAAAAGCGCAACATTCAAGATAGTGTAATATTCGAGATAGCGTAGTGAGCATGTAATTACTGTAATTCACTAATCATTTTCGCGGGAGTCTTCCTCATCCGAGAACCATGCGTACAGATCAGGACCAACAGCTTGCCGCAGCTGATTGATACGACACGCACCCGAGCGATCCGTTGGCCGAGAAGCCCTCTAGCAGCGGCGACTTGACACTCAAGTTGGTTTCCAGCATGTACCCCCACTCGCGCTCGATCAGATCAATTGCCCGCTCGCCCTTGCCGGCCACAAAATGCGCTTGGATCTGTCGCGCAGGTGACACGCAAACCACAAACCACCAGCGCAACACGCACCTCGAAGCCACGGCCTGATGGGCGTCCAGAACTTCATCAGCCCGGCGCTCACGGCCTTGTTCTGTGCGTCCGATGTCGTGAGGTTGTACAGGACCGCGAGCGCGTTGCCGTCCTGCGGGTGGATGCTCCTCGGCAGGTCGTTGCTGCGGAACCGGCCCGCCGCGGCGTCCCACAGCAGGCTGTTGAACGCAGTTTTGATCTTGGTCGCGTTGGCGAGGTATGTGGCGGGGAGGGAGACATTGCCGAGATGCGTCGCCAGGTCCGCCGTGGTGACGAGCGTCTACGAGCTTGATGAGCGCGGATACATGATGCGAGAGACAGAAATCAATCCTCACGCGATAAAGCAACGCGTTTGCCGCAGAGTTGTGTCCGGCGCCGCTGGCCCTGCCCCAGTCGTTCGAGAGCGCAGACGAGACGTTCATCAGGCCGGTCAAGTCCACCTGGCCCTCAAGGAAGCCAACCGCCTTGGTGTAGTTCGCCCAGACAGACTTGATGAAATCGAGGTCGCCCGTGTACAGGAAGTAGTTGTGCGTCCCAATGAGCGACCACGAGATGTACGTGTCGCTTCCCTGGTTGTTCAGCGGCGGCCCGGAGTACTGCAGCGCGCCAGTCGTCAGGTTTTGCGTGCGGAACATCACCATCAACGAGTTCTTGGTCGGCTCCATGTCGCTCAGCGCGACGAGCTCCGTGTGTGTGGAGATGCCGCAGTCGCCTGATCCGTCGCATGAGTCCGAGGGTTAGATCGCGTCCATGAGCATGAGGGGTTACCTGGCCAGATGTTCCTGACAGTACCAATGTCATCAGCAGGGATTGCACACACAGATCGCGACCGACCATTCCTCACCTGTCGCGTTTTGCACCATCGACGAGGATAGGCCCAGTGGCAGCTCCTCCCAAGGCATCGTTGGACCAGCCACCTACAAATGTGATCGCACAGTTTGAGTCCAAAATTCAGATCCACGCCGACACGAACCTCCTGCTGGGCACGGCTCCTGTCGCGCCGTGTGGGGAGGGATTGTGTTGGTCTGCACCCTATAGTGCCTGCTAGCGGTCAGCCCCCACCCACGCCACGCTCTGCCACATCAGCCAGCAAACAGGCGATGACGCACCGGCGTACCAGATCTTCGTGAGGCAGTCGATGTCGTGGAACCCGGGGTCAGGTGCAAAGAAGTAGCCCGGGTACGCCCTGAGATCATCCCAGTGGGGCATGAACGTGATCGCCAGCGAGATGTTCGAGATCGTCAGCGGGTCCGCGCTCGCACTCACAATCGTCAGGAAGCGGAACCCGCCGCGCTGCTGTCCCACGGTCTGCGTCAGCAGCCCCGTGGCTCGCGGCACGTGGAACGTCTGGATTCTGTCCCAGTTCTGCAGCCGTGCGGGCTGGCACGAGTCGTCCAACTTGAGCGGGCTGATGAACTCCGCGGACTCGGTGAACGACAGTGAGAACTGCGACTGGGCCGTCGCGTTGTTGATCGTCAGCGACAGGATCCCCCCAAGCTACAGTATGGGTGTGTGAATTGACCCTCGACGGCGCTGTATCAGGGAGGCCGCGCACCTCCTTCCCCAGTCGAACACGACGTACGAACCGCTGCCCTGGAATGTCGCCTGGGAGTCCGGACTTGCGACGAGCCTGCTCGCGCCGGCGACCCGGCCGCTGATCCTATCTCGAATGTTGCGCTTTTCGAATATTACGATGTTGCGATATTGCGATAGTCGGCTACCTGGGGTCTTGATCATTGCGTCAATCATCTGATCAATATCTGCCGAGCGGCCATCCACGATTCAGACATCGGTTATTAGTATAACGTTTTCAGCCGTCCAGATAGGCGCATCATGACATGGAGCGCATCATGAAATTGATCCTATGTCGGCAAACTATCGCGTATCAGTGATACGTCCTCCGTTTATCAGCATATAGTTCCCGGCCTCCATACTGTAGGCATCGGATAAGTGGACGGCTTGGCAGTGGTGAGAAACTGACAAACCCCAATGTCCCGCTTCTAAAGTCTCCAATTTCATAGCCGGGAAGAGCTTTTCGGCCATACGAATATTATGCCGATTGATATAGCTATCTCTACACTGTCAGAACTGTCTCCTCATCGGCCGACAGACTGACCTGCTCTTAGAGCCTTTGACAAACAACGTATCGCCAGCCCAATGTGTGTGCTCGGGATCATATGGAAAAGAACCCAACTCTCCGATATTATTCCCGATCAAGTCGACGGGGATACGGAAGTGCGATGCTTCTGGCTCGGTCACAAGGTTCGTCAGGAGGAAAGTGCACACGTCGGGGTCCTGGGGAAAATAATGTCAGTCAAACTTCGCACATGGGGCCGTGCGCGCCTTTTCCCAGTGCTGGAGGATCTCAAGAGCTTGCTTGCGAGTCGAAACATGCGCGTCCTCGATCTGTTTCATTGCAGTGACATAGTTCTTGAACTCATTCGAGAGCTGGCCTTTCGAAGGTGCGATGTCAACAACCACCAGCTTCGAGAGGATAGATTTATCCAGAGTAGGGTCTAGAGCGACGCTCATGGCAACTTTGCCGCCCCTGCGGTTGCCACTGGTCAACACGTGGACAAGCCAACTCAAGATGCCAACTCAACATGGAGTGGCCAATTAAGGCAACGTCGGTCAACGAGTGCTTCTTAAAGAAGTTGATAACGTCTCTGGCCATGGCAGTGTATGTCATGGGCAAAGCATGCTCCGACGAGCCATGGTTGCGCAAATCCTAAAAAGAAATACCATAAGATCACTGTCTCGCGAAAGCACAGGAGGGGATAACTACCAGTGTGTAGACAGGACGCTGAAGGTTCCTAGCGAAGGCCCTAGAATGAGCGCCCCAATTGCGCGCTGAGCCACTGATTTTGGTGTTCGCCGATGTCAGATGTGAGAGCAGCACACAGCTTACAATAACCCATGCAAAATAACGATCGCGCCAGACGTCTTATTCTCTCCCGGAATCTCTGACCTGAAATTCAAATCGACAACCGCCTTCTCAGCGTAGGTGTGGACCAGATTCCGCAGCTTTGGAGCTGATACTTGGTCAGATGAAAGCGACATCGGCCAAATGTCTTACTCAAGGCTGCTCGGCGGATCTGGGTCTTGAGCAAATTTTCGCTGAACCTGCCACAGTGAGATCGCGAAAGGACAAGCATGTTGGCTCGGCCGACGAAGCCCGATACGAGATCCCAGGCTTTTGTTGAGGTAAGAGGTTGACCCGTAAGTCCTGCAGAAGTGGAGTTTATCTCTATGCATGGAGCCTGATTTGCGGAAGCTGGCACCGTGAACTAACAGAAATTTCGTTGAGACGGTTTGGAACAAGTGACGTATAGTGTTGTGCATTGATTGGATGATCGGAAGTTGCCGTCTCCCAGCCTACTGCTCGCCAGTATCAGGCTTCCTACTCGCCCAGTTTCTCTTCCGCAAGTCCCTCCGAACAAACCAAGTTATACCTTCGTAGAGATCAGTCCACTTCAATTCTGCGGGCTCCCCATCAGAATGCCTCATTGCGTGTCCGGCTACTGCGTTGTCGGGTTTCTGGCTCTGTTTGGGGTACGGGATGTGCTCCGTCAAGAGTCGTTTCAGGGCGGCTATTGGTAGGGTGTTAATGGACCGTGGGCACATCTCGGCCGTTGGTAAGTGGCAATGATACGTCTCCCTACTCCTAGCTTCGCCCGTTACATGATCACTCCCCGCTTTCTTTCAACTTCAAGGCGATACACTGGCTTCTAGATGGCCCGTCATGTGTTTCGGATTTAGCTGCTTGGCTCGATGCGGCAGCCTCTTCTGCACAGTTATCTTTGGCGCCTGTGTCATTATGGAATCACGGCCGCCTCGGTGTGCACCGACCATCGCTCGGGGCTTCTACTGCGCAGATAACGCAAGATGTGGCCAAGATACGACCACCCCATTGTCGTTCCCACCCATGTCAAGTCGTAAAATGCCTCCTGCCGCGCAGTGCCTTGTTTCAGAGACGGTCGTGGTATGCATCCGACACGGAGCACGCGCCCCCGGACTGGCTATTCGACATCCCATCAGCCTCTTGACCTGAGCTTTCCTCGGCCTTCAGCGCGGCATGGCGCTTCTTCTCGACAGTCATGCGGTCCAAAACTCTCAAAGGGGTTGATAGACTTTGCAGCTCGAAGAGTGCCCAGTGGCGTCTCTAGATTGTTTCAAAGTCATTTGTGAGATTGGTTTGAACTGAAGTGCACGCTGCTCTGTCGACGAGTCGAATGGATACCATACTTGCATGCTGTGGGACTCGTCTGACGCCTTCTACATATGTATCGATGGCTCGGCGGAGTTGTCGCTCGCTGATGGAATAGCTGTATCGGCACTCTGAAGATGACTCGTTGGCCCTCGTGCAATTCCAGACTCACTCTGCACAAGCATCCCATAGGATATATGCTTACTCCTCATATGTATCTAACATTCACACTGCCAATGACGACTGCGGAGGCTGTCAGTGGCCCTGTGATAGACTCCCATGCCCGGATTCGACCAAATGTTTCGAATGAGCTGTTCTTAGGTCTCCGATTCTCTTGCTCTCGACGGAACTTATACGAGCGCGCTTCTTGATGTTCTCCTCAATTGTAAAGCCTCAGGCACCTGTTTCAAAGTGAAAGCTGTTTCGGGCTAGGAACATAGAAGACAACACAAGTCCGCTTCAACCCCGCCGACCCACCGGTAAGCGATCTCTGTCTCCTCCTCGCCGATAGTCAGGCTCTGGCGAACGTCGCCGATACCGCGAATCGGGCGAGGCGTCTCTGTGTCGTGGACTGTGAGAGCGCGATCTGGACGGCCGTTCACGCGCCGGCGGTCGGCGTCCGCTCCCAAGCGAGCTCAAGAGGTCCTCGATCCCTCGCACACCCGCTGACTTCTTGGTCTTGGACTCTTTCCGCGCTTTCTTTTCGGCCCTGCGCGCTTTCCGGGCGCGTCTTTCTTCCGGGGTCTCGTCCTTGTGTTTGCCTTTTGATTTCGACTTGGTCTTGGACTTTTTCGTCTTTTGGAGCGCCTTCTCTTCTCGCCGTTGTGCTATAAGGTACTCCCGCATTGGGTCTTCTGGATCGATGTCAGCGCCCGTGGATGCAGATGAGTCGGATTCGGCGCCATCGTCATCGTCTGAGATTCAGTCAATACACAAGATGCCGGGCCGCATTTGGTAAACGCACCCATGATCATCTCGGGTTTCGCATTCAGACTCTGCTCCTCCGGTTCCACCATCTCCCCGTCCTCGTTCTTCACCTTGCCTTGTTTGTAGTTCTTCACGTGGTCGACACGGAGCGTCTTCTCGAGAACCTTGGCGCCGTTCAGATTGTCGACCGCCAGCACAGTTGAGCGCTGGTCTTCGTACATGAGAAACGCGAACCCGCGCGGCTTCCCCGTGTCCTTGTCCCGCGGCATATTGATGTCCATAATTTCACCGTATCTGAGTGGTCCATTGGCACGTCGGGAACTCTGAGAGCGAAAGAGACGCACTGCGAGAAGATCGTTATGACGTCTCCCTCTGTGAGATCGAAGGGCAGTCCGCCAGCAAAGATGTACGCAGAGTCCTTGTAGTCGTCGTGCCAAGAGCCGCCACCAGAAGCATACGAGAGTTCGGCATCATTAATTCTGTGGATTTCTTTTACGACGCTGTAGCATATAGGTCATCAGAATACAGAGACGAGAGGAATGCACGCGGTCAGACTGACTTCATCGTAGCGCGACCAAGAGAGGCGTTGATCACGTGAGGGAGCGCACTTTTTTCCTCTTGTCGCAGCCATCGACCATGGCATCCTTCACACTTCCCCCGATCAACGATAATCCAGATAGCGGCTGGGGCCCTTCGACCTCTAACTTCCCCGAACAGTTCAAATTCAAGGACATCCCCTACGCGCCGTACTCAAAATCCGACAAACTCGGTCGTTTTGCCGATTGGAACGACTCATCGTCCGAGAACCGACAGACCGCATCCGGTCTCCCGCAGACTCAAAACGCACGCGGCGGTGCTGCGGGGCGGCGCAGGGATGGTGGGCAGGCGTTCGGGAGCGGGACGGCGAGCGCCTTCGCGTATTTCCATGTTGAGGACGAGTCGTCGTTCTCGCTCGTGGACAACAAAACCGCCGCGCCGCGCAGGGGGATGGGCTTCCTGCGTGGTGGCCGGGGTGGTCAGCGCGGTGGATCGGCGTACAACAACAACTCGAGAGGTGGGGCTGGGCAGCGCGGCGGGCGTGGATTCTCGTCTGGCCGTGGTTCTGCTCAGCGCGGCGGACGTCGTGGAGGCTGGAGAGACTGGGACAAGGTTCTTAGCGATGCTTTCTGTTGTGCGATCTCTGTTCTCAGCCCATATCTCTTGTCCTCTAGAGCAATCGCACTCGCGAGTCCTCTGTTGTCATCTCGCCTCAATGGTCAATGCTGGAAGAGATCGAGTTCCATCGTCTGTCTAAGCTCCGTCTTGAGGTGGATGAGCCCGTAGACCTGTACGGATCACTCTCTTTTCCGCGATCGCACAATTTATTAATCTTCATCACAGGGAGATGTACGGCCGACTTTTCGCGTACGACAAGACATATGATCGTATCACTACCAAGACAGAGCGTCCGTTGCAGCTGGTGGACCGGATCCGTTACAACACGACGACATCGGACGACCCCGTTATCCAAGAGGCAAGTATCCGGTGCATCCTCAGTTTCATGTGTCGTGCTCACATGTCATCTGCAGCTTGCCGCGAAGAACACTGCAACAGTTTACGCCACCGATGTGATCCTCAGTGTGCTTATGTGCGCTCCGCGGTCGGTGTACCCGTGGGACATCGTCATTGTGCGGGAGGGCAACAATCTCTTCTTCGACAAACGGGATGGTGGGGCGTTTGACACCGTCACCGTCAACGAAAATGCGGCCGATCCGCCCCAGGACCCTACTCCCCCGAATCCTGCGGAGAAAGCCGCTGTGCCAGAAACCCCGTCTATCAACTCTGCTACATCGTTGTCGCTAGAGGCGACCTATATCAATCAAAACTTCGGCTTCCAGTCCGTTACCGAGAACCCGCCTCCGCCGGCGGTAGACCTGGCACACCCTAACCCGTTCTACGGTCCAGATGAGACTGAGCCGCTCGCCTCCTGTGGATACCGGTACCGGGTGTTCGATATGGGAGTCACGGAGGACGAGGATATCAAGATCTGTGTGCGGACGGAGGTCGATGCGTTCAGCCCCGGGCAAGGCAACCCGCGCGAAGGACAGGGCTTGGTCACGATCCGCGCTCTTAATGAGTTTGACACGCGGGCCCAAGGGTCAGGCGGTGCCCCTGACTGGCGCGCGAAGCTCGATTCGCAGCGCGGTGCGGTCGTCGCTACGGAGATGAAAAACAACAGCTGCAAGCTCGCGAAATGGACGGTGCAGAGCGTTTTGGCTGGGGCCGAGGCGATGAAAATCGGGTACGGCTTTCAGTGGCTGGAGCTCCCGTGGCCTTGCTGCTCACGCTCGTTGGCAGATACATCTCGCGCGCGAATCCGCGTGACAACACGCGCCATGTCATTCTCAGCACGGGGTCTGTGCGACCTACGGAGTTCGCTGCCCAGCTGAACGTGTCGCTTGCCAACGGGTGGGGCATCGTCCGTACCGTGACCGACCTGTGCATGAAGATGCCCGAGGGCAAATACGTCTTGGTCAAGGATCCGAACAAGGCATGTCATGTCATGTTATGTGTTTTTGGTTAATATGTTTATGACGGACCTCGCAGCCGGTGATCCGCCTTTACGCTGTTCCCCTCGCTGCATTTACCGCCGAGGAGGATGACGGCGAGATTTTCGAAGAGGAACAGGAATAGTTCTGCCCCATGTGAATTGTTAGGCATCGGCTGTACGTCTATCGCTGGGAACTGAGCAGAGTCTCGACCGCGCCTTCGATGTTCGCGCTATGTATGTAGTAGAAATCAGCTGTTAGCGAGCTCCACGCGAGAGAATGTGGCCGGAAGCACCTGCGCTGGAGCGTTCCAACGAGAACTTCTCGCTGTATGTCAGGAAACATCGTCGTCAGCTGCGTGATCTCAGCTTCGACGGGGATCCGCATCCCAGGCTGAGCGCGACTGGAGCCTGTCAGCCCCTCCACCCATTCGCGCATGACCGATGGGCCCCCGAGCGCTTCTGCCGGCTGCCGCTGAGTCGCCGTCCCGGCCGTCGGCCGCGCGGTGGTGGTGGTGCCGGTGCTGGTGGTGACGATCTCCTCGTTCTGGACCCGCGTCGCGGCTGCTGCCCGCGCGTCTCCGTCCGGCAGAGCCCGCGTGGATCGCCGCGCGGGGCGAAGCGACCCAATGAGCGGCAGCGCGTATCGCGTGCCCATGCCCGCCACCCGCGGCGAGATGCGGTATCCCTTGAGGTTCGCCAGGTCGGACCGGTACAACTGTCCCGCCAGGAGCCCGATGAGAGCCGCTGCAGCCGATCCCGGCAAGTTCCCTATCGCGAGCTGTTGACGGGAGAATTAATACATACGGTACGCGGAAGAGCGGAGATGAATGAGAATAAGAAGGCGGACGCGGGCCCGGGGAAGCAGAGGACACAGATGCTTTCACACACACACACACACGCACACACCTGCAACGCAGAGATGAATGTGAAACTCTTGTTCGTGAGCGGCACCCCGAAGATGCGAAACTGGTACGAGTGTGGGACGATGCGGGACCACTGATAGATGATGCTGAAGATGAGCGCTATCGGCCCAGCAGGGATCTGGGCCAAGCCCGCGCGGTCGAACAGTATCAGCGCCACGAATTCTAATATCGTAGACAACATCGTCGATATCAGAACGAAGGACTGGGTGTTGGGGATGAGACGGCAGGGCGATTGTGAAACTGGTCGTCACTTGCCGCGAACTTGAGCGAGCCAAAGTTTCGCTCGATCTGCACGCTGACATTGTACAGCGTTAACACCGCCACGAAGAGGTCGCTGCCGGTTGCCCATGATTACCGGGTCCTTGTTTGTGTATTATTGACCATACCTTGAGCTCGCGAAAGCGAGATGGTGCGTGGCCAGCCGCCAATACTGCGACACGCCGTCAGAAACTCGTCGCACAAGGCGCGTACGGAGACATCGCACCTGGTGGTGGTGGGAGACATGGGGAACAAGCTGTAAGACACGTCCTTTAGTCAAACGACGCGTCGCTCGAGGAGGGAATAGGAACTCGGCACCTGCAAGTGGAAATAGTGTTTCACGTCGAACACACCCACGAAGACGGTTGAGAGCGCCAGAGACAATATGAGACCTGACCAGACATTATTCGCGTCCGATGGGATGGGCACTAGCTACCTTTCGACACCGGAGCGTACTCGAAGGACATGGTGAGGCACCGCACTCGAAGCCTGGGATGACGATGTTGTCCAAATTGGGAAAGAGGTGATTTGCTTGTCCCTGCTTGCCCATCAAATCGCCTCAACCCAAGCACTTGATGCGTGCGTCGACGACACTGCGATTGCTTGCACAGAAAACGGGATGGTTCAACTTGGCGCCCTGACATATCTATGCAAGGCGCCCATCCGCACAGTTTGCATGGCCCCGATAGGCTTCGATCTTTTCCAGGCCTTTCCTGATCCACCTCATGATCCCTGTGTCGATCTTTCTCGCTTGGACGCTCGCACGGGTTCGAGCATGGACATATGTACTCGCCTGTTGTCGATGGGATGCGAACTTCAGATCGAGGAAGACAGATCTACGTCGTCCCCCGGAAGTACTTCATTTACAGCACTGAGCGGGCCAATGTTCCGCGCTCAGCTCGGAAAGCACGCGCAGTCCCTGGCTGACTGCAGGACTGTAAGACGTATGCCAACGCAGAGCGCGCTGCCATGTTCCCATCGGGCCCTTTTGTCGCATACTCCCCATGGTCTGTCCGTTTCTCTGCGAGGGATTTCCCTGCGTCGCATTTTCCGTCCGTGCCGCCCATCATCCGGCCAGTCACTAGTCACTCTCCACTTCAAGCTCCGCGACGATCTCCCACACCCGCCACCGATCTCGATTGCCTCGCGCGTACGCCCGTCAACGGTCAGACCAACATGTGGATTTCATATGTCGAGGCGTTGGGCAGCATTGCGTTGCGTTGTGTACTTACTGCTGGCCGCGGGTTTCATCAGATGCGCGCCATTTACTTCGCAACGTGCTGCGCCGCACACGTCCCAATTGGGTGGTTTCAGTTGCCCAAATCCGTCTCGGCTCAAGTAGTGCCTGAGCGTAGGAGATAAGATAAGCAAGATACCCTGGCCGATTAGCAGGTGAAGGTAAGGTGAACCGACCTGGAAGACCGCAGGGAACCACTGCAGGAGCGCATGAACCATTGCAGCTTTCACCAGCCCTGACTTATCTGCGAGGACGGACGCTATCAGCGCCACCCACGCGCGATTTTGGTGGGATCTGGGACGTTCGTACGAGAACACACACCCGTGAGCTGCATGGATGTACTGTACATATCACGCGCTAGCAGCCGCAAGCGCGGTCCTGCCTGGGGGTCGCAATCCCGGCATGGACGACGCCGCCCCTGCGCCAAGGATCCGTGCATTCAGTGCAAGCATGCGGTCACGGGGTCTCAGCATCGAATCCCGCGCGGTCCGGAAAATACTTTCATACCAGCCGCCAAATGTGCCAGCCGGCCCCCAACGACCAAATGAACCTTGGCTCTAGCCGTTAGGGGGAATGTGAATATTCCACCAGCTGCTTCGCGGACACGTGGGCGCCAAGATATATACTTACTACTTACGCTACTCGAATCTCGGGTGAAGTTCGGGAAAATGCTGTCATACCAATACAAAGCGCGCAGAGGCTGATCATGAACCTTGAGGATACTCAAAGTTCCGGACCATCCACACACCGCTTTCGAGATACGCAGCCCTGAAACAAGCTCAGCGCACCCGGCAAATATGCCTCGTTCCTCCGCTTCTCTTCTTCTTCCCGGTGTGTGTCGATCGCAAACGAGCCGCCTTATCTAATCTAGTCGAGCGCGAATTTCCAATGCCATGGCACGTGACAAATGGGCCCTGACTGACTGAATCGCATGAGTCAAGACGGCCCTGCCCTGTGACGTCTCCAGGGATCGCGCGGGATTTGCCGGATATGTCGCCATGCTTCCGTCGGAGGTGAAACTCGACCGATGCGTTGCCGAGCGTGTGCCGGTGTCGGGAACATCGTGCTTGCAGAGGGGCTACTCAGAGCCCGTGTGGGAGGGAGGGGGCACAACACACCGCGGGTAAGGGGGGCAGGCCACACGCAGACCTCGCTAAGTATCGGGATTACGTGGGGGGGAGGCGGTATCTGCGCATGACTCACCCACTGATGCTCTGACGTGATCTCGCTTTCCTTTTTCGGCGCGTAGGTGTTGCGCTTGTTGATCCGTTGCTGCTGCTGCTGATACGCAGTCGCGCATCCATCAGTTCAGGTCAGAGTTTGTTGTCCCAGGACCAGTGTAGAATACCAGTCCCGGTTGTTCGATTTTCCGATGTCTGTCACAGCAGCTGCAACAATCGCGGTGGATGATATGAAATTAGGCTCGTCGTGTGTGCCGGGCAATTGGTCCTCGCTGCTCCAGCCGTCAAGACGACGTGCATGTCTGTCTGTACAGATCGACTCGCCCCTTGCCCCGCCCAAACAGGGCGCTTCACAGATCCCAGCACGTCTGATCACATCAGTGATGGGGTCCCACGGTAGCATCCGACCCGACCTCCCATGTCCAACCGCTGAACACCGGTCTCGAACGCCTGCTGACGTCCGAAGCAGCACACTCCAGGGCGTCAGTTCCCCCCAGGCATCCGTCACACACGCCCATCCGTTTCAGCGCGCGACGTTTCATTGTTCGTGCGTGCGTTCGTTCTGAGGCAGTGAGGGGAGGGCAGGGGGCCCCGCTTCGAATTCTCACAGGCGCGTGGCTGAGACACGCCATACCACTTGCCAATGCGCTGCTGCTGCTGCTGCTCCGGTGTGTGTGCATCCGGGTTGCGCGGCTGTCAGTGTCGCTGGGCGTAAGTATGCTGTGCGCTGGGGCAGTCGTAGTGGTATGGCGCGGTGGTAGGGCATCTGCGACTGCACCCTGCACCCTGCTCGTCGCGCCTTCGTGCGGCGCGTCGTCGTCTAGAGAACGGAGCTGCGCGCGCTACGCACCGTCTTCGCTTATCGCGCGGGGGGAGAGATGCAGCGCACGAATTGGACGCAGGGGCGTTGTACAGCATATACTGCATCGATATCGACGATCAACCGACTCGGAAGATCCTCCACCTCCATCAAAGGGGTTGCTGTTGCCGTCTTGGGACTAGACGCTGATTCGCACATCACGATTACATACTTATGCTCACCCGTTGTTGAACGCCGATCTCTTTGATGCACACATCCTTTGTGGCTGTTGTCCTCGTTTGAACCCACGTTTCGCCAGCGGTGCTTACGCTGTGGTTCGAATTAGGTGACTGTAGGTTAAAACGAAAACAGGCTGCCGCGTGTTTGTAGCAGATGTTTCCACGAATCGCTGCGTCGATTGATCGATACGGCATGCTTCGGTATTGACTTCTAGCGTTTGTTCAAGCAAAAGCAAGCAGCTGAATCCAACCAACAAGGCTCCATCGGAGGCAGAACAGAACAGCGATACACATCCTGGCATGCGGCGCTTCTGGACATGGAGCTCAAATCGACGCCTGACCTGGGCCTGGTCAGGGACACTCAGAGCTCCTTCAGAGCCCACCCAAAGAGAAAGTGAAAGGAAATGCAGGGTCGCATCGCAACGAGGCCATTCGGCTGAATGGCCTCGATCGCTCTTCAGATCGCAGAAAGAGCGGAAGATCGATTGATAGCAGGACCCACCAGCACCACCTTCCTGGCCAATGTACCTAATTGCTACATAACGGCGAAGAACGTGCAAAGTACATACGGACCATCGAGATAACGCGTCACGTGTTGCCAGAAGGCGTTTGGTTCAATTGCTGACTCGGGTAAGTATCTTACTATCGTACTATCTCAGCCGCTCGGTGGAAACATCAGGCCCCGAGAGGCTCCGTCCTGACATATTACAGCCGCTGTGTGAGTTGACCGAGCGTACCACCTCAGCCGACGCTCAACGTCAGCGCATCTCGCTCGCTCGCCGTATCCTAGGGCTCAGTCAGAAGAAGCAGAGCAAGTGTCCCTGGACTGGATCCGGCGGCACTGGCAGCGCCAAACGCCGCTCTTGAGTCGCTCGCAGGGTCGCGCGGGCACACACATGTGGGGCTTTCTGCAGACGGCGAATGGAAGCGCACGGTATGGCTGTGGCTAGGGGCCCCCAGCCCAGCCTCTGGCGCGCCCCGCCCGTGCGGTGAGAGTCCGAATGTTGTTCATGTTCGTGTTCGGGAGGGTTTCCATTCAGGGCGCGAGGCTCCGTGACATGGCGCGTTCTTATCAGAAGGTGTGCCAGTGTGTGTGCGTGTGTGTGTGCGTCATCGAGTGGGACGCGGCATGCTGCGGTGCAGGCGCCGCGCGCGATGGACGAGGGCCGCCCGGTATTTTTGAAGACCGGGACGCCCATTGTCTGTGGCACGATACTTAGATAGCGCAGGCACGTAATCTGCCACTCTGCTGCACGGCCGGATACGGATCTCACGCGCCTGGTTGTGTGGTTGACTAGGACTGTGCTGCAGTCGCCGAGGTCGATCTGGACCCGGACCAATGCCGTTCCAATCACCACATGAACTGGGTTTGAGACTCTCCGAGCGCAGGCCATGCATGCTCTTTCCTATTCGGGGCGTGGGCTGTTGGGTTTCACGGGGCGGACACGGCGGCGGCGGCAGAATGTTCCGCGGAAGTGCGTGCGTGCGTGGAACGCAGCTGCTCGTCGTCGCTGAGTCACCGCCGCAGCCGGGACGGGATCACGGAACACGCTGATCAGGGGCTTCTTTTTCCCAGCCGCCCGAGGTTGATCAGAATACCCACCCCGAGCCCTTCTCTTCCTCGTCGCTATTGGAGTGAATCGGCGGCGGCGGCGGCGACAGCCTGCGCGGCACGGCGAGTTGCGGGGACAGGCTTCCCGATTGGGGGGGCTTTGCGAGCACGTTGCGCGGTTGACGTGATCTCGTGAATAGGGCTCTTCGATTTATTCAGTTGGCGGGCAGCTGATGCACCGGCGCGTATGTCGCCGCGTTCGCGCAATCCTCTATCATTGTCCTGTCCGTCTTATCCGCGAGCCTGGCAGAGCCACGTGACGCGAGCTGCTGCTGCTCCACTGGTTTTGGGTGGATGAGCTTGTCAAATACATCTCGAGCGCTCCAGTTGGGCGGATGCTGATAATGAGGATAGTGTGCTGTCCATTTACAGCTGCCTCAGCTCAATGAAAGTGGCAGTGAGGGAGATCTGTACCCTGTTTGTTGCGGTAGTCAGTACGTCCGAGCGCCGCGGTGGAATGATGAGGTAGACTCGTGTCCAAAGTAACCAGTTGTTTGCTTGCAAGCCGGGTGGTTGTGGGGCCAGTGCAGTGCTTGGGTCCCACTCACTGCCTTGGACCTATTTTGCTTGCCAGGGCTGAACCGAGCTGGAGCAGACGGGAGCTCCGTTGCTCTATTCAAACGACTTCTGACACGCAGCATGCAAGGGAGTAATTGCAATGACTGCAAGATGGGCCGCCGCGATGCTATGTTTGGTTGCTGTTGGCTCGCCGCTCGCCACACCCCAATTCAGCGCACAGTGGTAAGCGTCTCCTTCACTTTCGCGTTCTCCCGCAATGAACGTCGAGCCCTTCGTCATCCACTCACAGCCTCGCCCGATTCGCTTTTTCCCGCAAGATCCCAGTCAAACACGGTTCAAGCCAAGTGGGAGGGCGACACACGGAACGGGGCAGGTGGGGAAATCAGCGGTATATTTATCCCATCGAAACGAAACGAAACATGGATCAGTGAGAAAAGTCCTTTGCGAATCAACAAGCGCCGAGCTGTGCGATGGAAATGGAAAAGATCCTTGCGGCGGTGCGATACAACTTGCTGCAGCAGACGCACGATAAGGAAAGGCAGCGCAGAGCCCGGCGAAGCATGTGTCGTAGGCACGAGTGTGGAAGTCCTGCTAAACAGTCGCTTGCGCGGAGATCCTCCGTGGTCGGCCCGATACAATCTCGCCAGCCCAGAGAGCCAATCGGCAGGCGCACACTGTGTCACGCTGATGACGTTGGGGGCGCGAGAATGAGCCCTGAGCTCAGTTTGGCGGCATTCCGGCAAATTCCGGTCAGCACTCGGGCTCATTCGCCGCGCGTTCCCTCTGCGATTGCAGCGCTGAAGCTCCAAGAGGGCGGATTAGAGGGACCCGCAGGTGCGTGTGGATCCACGATCTCGGCTAGCGAGCGAGGAGGGAGGGCGCGGCGCGAGACTGGTGGACCCACCAAAGAGGTGTTTCGGGTCCGGTCACGCGTGACGGAACCCCTGGTACTGTAACCTCCTCGTCCGCCGGTTCCCGTTTCTTGGGTCAAACGTTTAACCCCATGCGACCATTGGCAGCCTTGCCCCTTTCGGCAGGCGTGGTAATCGCAATCGCAAAGGTCCCGATCGGGCTCTTCGCTCTCGTATACTTAACGGGCCTGGGGAAATCCAAATGAGGTCGAAACAACAGCTTGAATCTCTGCCAGAGTTCAAGTCCCTGCTGGCGCGTCGGTCGCAGAGTCCTTTGCATCCCCCAGGGTCATAACTGAAGCGCGGATCATATCCCCACCCTGCCTGTCCCATCCCCCCGACCTTTTCCTCCCCACCGACATGGACTTCTCTGCCGACTTTAGCGACAAGGCGCCGCGCACCCCGTCGCCCACCTCCGTTGGCTACTCCCCCTCCCCCTCTCCCCACCTGTCCCAAAACTTCAAGCCGGTCGAGGCCGACACTGTGCGCATCTTCTCGCAGGACGACGACCAGTACGCCTGGGCTCACAATAACAATACCCAGGTTCTCCCGCCTGCCTCCTTCCCCCCTCCTTCCTCCGGCCGCCCCTCTCTGCTCTCGGAGCTGTACGAGAACGACGGTGGCAGCCCGGAGCAGAGCGACGTCTACAACGACGGCGAGTGGAACTCGACGTCCCCGCCGGGCACCACCACCGGCGCCGGCGCGAGCTCGAACGGCGCGCCGTCCGCATCGAGCGCGCGGACGCACGACTACACGCTCATCCGGCGCGCGACGTTCCCGTATGCGCGCCAGGAGCGGCCGGACGACGCGATGGGCGTCTACCCGCCGCCGCCGTTCCTGCCCCCGCCGCACGCGTCGTCGCACCACGCGCACGGTGCGGGCCCGCTCTACAACGACGACGCGGCGGGGATGCACGGCGCCGCCGATGGGCCGTACGGCGGCGCACCGGGGTACGGCTCGGAGTACGACTCGGGTGTGAAGGTGGAGGATGGGATGTACGGCGGGGCGGGGAGCCGGTTCTACGGCAGCCGCGGGCACGGGATGCACTCGGGCCCAGGCATTGTCGGGCCTGGTATGCACGATGTGCACGGCGGGCATTCATCGTATGCCGGCCCCGGTGCCGGATATGGCGGCGGCAGTGCAAATGGAGGACACATGCACCACCACCACCTTCCTCCCCCGCACCCCCACCTCCCTGCGCACCACGGCGGCCACCACGGCCACCACGCGCCGCACGGGCACCCGTACCCGCCTCCGCTGCCGGTGCAGCACACGGACGACGCTGCATCGAAGGAGACGCAGTACCTCCGCCGGCGGTGTTTCAACTGCCACACCACTGAGCCGCCGTCCTGGCGCCGCTCGACGCTCAACCCGGGCAAGATCGTGTGCAACAAGTGCGGGCTGTACGAGCGCACCCATTGCGCGCGCGGCCGCTGCGCTTCGACGAGCTGCGGGCTGGCGGAAAGGGCCGCAAGAACTCCAAGGGTGTCTTGCCGGGCACTCCGCCGATGGGTGCTGCTCCAGGCAGCCCGCCGAAAGGCCGCAAGGTTATCGGCCGGAGGGGCAGTGTCAGCAGCAACGGGAGCAGCGTCCAGGGCGCCAGCGACTGGGACGACTCGGGTGAGTTTGGCTTGTGGATTCATTTTCTATTGCGATGTGTCCTGACATATGCGCGTAGGCTCGATGTATTCATCTGGACCGTCGTCTTCCCACCACTCTTCGTACCACCCCTCCCCATCTCCGTCTCTCGGGCTATCGCCGCACCCGCCCTCGCTGTCGCTGTCTGCGTCGAATTCGTCTCACGGATCTCCGCGGCGCGATTCGCTCAGCCGCTCACCGCCTTTGATGGGATCGCCGCCGCACTCCGCCGGCCTGCTTGGCTCGCCTTCTCTGGGCATCCGGCTGCCGCACGCGCCGGACATCCCGTCGATCCACCACGGCTCGCCGCGGATGTCCTCGATGCCTATCCGCACGAAGCCGCGCTCGAATACGACGGGCGGACTGGGGATGGGCGGCGCGTTCTACGGCAGCGGTGCGATCCACCCGGGGCTGCACCACTCGTCCAGCAGCTCGAGCCTGCACTCGATCCACGACGCGCATGCGCACTCGAGCCCGGCGATACGGCACCAGGCGCTGGGCAGCCCTCCGATGGGCCACATGACGTGGGACGACGGGCTGGTCAAGGAAGAGCCCCGCAGTGTCCTCGTTTAATCGTGGCGCTGCTGCTCGGAAATCTGCCATGTACTTTCTCTCCGCCCCTGCCCCTCAAAATGCGACACCTTTATTTATTGCCACATCACCTGTTACCCATTTCAAGGTTCTATATACCACACACTGTACGCAATTCAGCCATTCCCCGAGATGTATCTTTATCCTCTTCACTTCGTTCACCGTCGCTCGTTCGTTTCCCTTTTGATCTTTTTTATTACATAGCTATGCTCTTTTCCACTCTTACACCGGGGATGTAGGGGTCCGGCCACGTATTTATCGCTATCTGTATGTTGTAACAACAATTCGATGCGACTGCCCAGGTACATTCGTGCGATCAGCAAAGCTTGAGTCAAATGCATTTCGCTCTGTGGAGAAACGTCTAAACCTTGCGTTTGTTTTTGTGTCATTGCTCCATTCGGACCCGAGCGAGAAAACGCAGAAAAAGCTCATCTGAACTGGCGTGTTCCTGAGAAGAAGGGACGAAATGCACGAGACACGTGAATTTCCTTGTCAAAGACAATTGCTCGCGCGCGTTGGCAGCCATTCAGCTGACGCATGGCGCGCTGACATTGCGCGTGCAGCGGTGCGGCTCGCGCATGACGTGCTCGCCACCGGCACCGGCACCCACCCTTGCCGTGCGGCATTCTCCGACCGCGGCTCGACCCGAACCCCAGCGATGCCCGTCCGTCCGCCCGTCGCATGCAGCGCACCACATGCACGAAGGCCTTCGCATCGGCAGAGACTTGTGGGTCCCCCCTCCCCAGCCCGGACACGCTCGTCCGATCGGATTCGTCACCCGAGGCGGGGGGTGGGAGATAGAGGGCTCGCTTGCATGCATGACTCTCGTAAAGTCTTGGTCTGACGTCCTGTCAGCCCCACGCATGACCTGACCTGCTTTTCATGTGTGCTCTGGATCCGTGCGTCCGCGGACGAGAGACGCCCCCCGGGACGATAAGCGACGCCGCCCATCCCATCGGCATGTGCGAAACGTGGACTGACAGCGGCCGGGGTTTCAGGTTCTGGTCTCAGTGGGCGATGGCGATGGGGATCCCTCCCCTGCTCCTGCCCAGATCTTGACCACCCATCCGCGGGCTGGCAAGTGGGCTGAGCGAGCAAGAACGTCACACACACAACCGGGACGTTGTGGCCGAGAGCGAAAGGGACGGACGGCGCAGAATATGGCGCCGCATCTTCGGGACCGGTGTCCTGACTGGCTTCCATTTGCAGATGCGCATGTATGTGACCCACTCCCCCGTCTTCCGTCCTTTCAGAGATGCGCTATCCTGCCGCTGCCGATTCGAGCTGCTGCAGGGCTCAAGGCCAGTGCATCTGCTCTCGTTTGAGCCTAGTGCTCGCTGCGCGTTCTTTTCGCCTTGCGCTTGGCACCGCCTTTGGCGTGCGACTCGGACTGAGGCTCACCGCGCCAGGACTGTCATGAAATAGGCAGAACTAGTTTTCCCCCGGGCTATGCGTGGGTTTCTCCGACAGACAGACAGAGACGCTCTGGTCGTCGCCGCATTAGACGAGCGCTTAGCAATAATGCCTTACACCGGCCGACGTGGGTAGAGACGAATATGGTATCATATGGACCTCGATCGTGGAGAATGTCCGAGCCCGGTTCTTGGAGACGCCAATCTGGAGGAAGGATTCGCATTTGGAACTATACGCGGGTACCTTTCAGCCTGTTTCAGGTTTCAAATGAGATTCTAGACTGCCAGTGTCCGCAAGCACTTGGCTCGGATGAACATCTGTGCAATGCGGCATCTCGACAAGCATCTCGACACTCTGTCCACAAATGGGTAAATCCACCGCTGCGCAGAATGACCTGGCACCGACAGGACGGACACGGATCTCGACATGGCCTTGAACCTTGAGCGATGCACACTCTGAGTCATCTCTCGTTACTTGGAACTGGGAGCAGGGGCACGGCAAACAAGATTATATGATATTATCTCGCGCCGCCCCAGGTACAAAAGGGCGGACCCGCGCGGCACGCGAATCGCCGGAGTAGAGCCGCTTATCTGCAGCAACATCCTCCCGTTCTTCCCCAGAAATAAGACGACGTGAGGGCGGCTGCAAGCATGTCTACGCTTCAAGTGTTTGCCGTTCTATGTCTCTTATCGACGCCGAATGCATTCGCCGTTGGGTTATTTGCGTCCTGATAAGCACCAGCACCACGATCCGAGTCCCGACGTGGTTGGGGTTATGTCAATGCCGAAGGGTGCCACTCTCCAGAGCAGCTCAGCGGCCGAGAATCTACCGGTCCGGAGACACCCGAACGTCTGCGGACCCTCGGACAACGCAGTAAAGTCCGCTGCTGTGGTAAGCAGCCTGTGTTCATATGCATCACAGACCCAGCATCCCGAGTTACGCTAGCTTCGATCCACCGCAAGCGAGCGCTAGAGTACTCACGCTGATCTGCACGAAGCTGGAATCCTGCACTTGTCACGATTCCGACTCGCATAGCGACCAGAGCGGCATCCCCAGAGATTTCGGCAACACACAAGGAGGACTTCTAGGCGGCGGTTGCGCTCGAGTAAGGAAACACGGCCGCACTGACAGATTACTTCCGTTGTGGAATCGTGGGTTTAGCATATTAGTATCACATACCCGCGGCGGTTGAACGCGTAGGCCAGTCGCAGGCTTCTCGGCTGTAAGCGCGAGCGAAAATAGCGCTGGTCATCACCCCTCAATCGTTGTGCCGGAGGTGACCAGCGGGGAGACACAGTTTCCAGTCTTTCTAGGACAACGATGAGAGATCATCCAGGTAGAATTCCCCAAGAAGAGCAGCTGCCGAGACAGTTGACACAAGAGCTGTTTCGCCGTCCGAAATAGATTTTGAGATCACAGACCAGCAGACCAGCAGCTCACACCATTCACATTTCGGCTCTAAGCCCGAGGTCAGGGTACCTGAGTAGGACCCACCCAAATGAACTCGGGTTTCGAAGAGGAATTAGAACGCTCCCGGGTTCAATTCATCCTGCGGGCGGGGGAGTAGCAGGGCGTTTCATGGGTCAGTATTTCTGGTATTGCAGCTGATGGGGATGAATTGCACCGCGCGTCGTTGCTCTTCAAATGGAGGTGGCAAGTAGAAGAGCAAATCCAAGCGATGCGGTCAGAGTTGATGAGTCACCAATCAATCATGTTCAAATATTCTAGTTCCAGCTAAAGTCGTCAATCGATGAGTTAGCTGGAAAGAAGCTGCCAAGCCCAAAGTAACTGACCTGGGAGGCCAGCTTGGACAAAAAAGAATCTAGACCTGCGCTCCCCCTTGGCTTCAGGTACCGAGATTTCTGGAAACTATCAGCTTTCGAGCCCCAAATGTTCCTCTGTTTCCGCGCGGACATGCAAGTGCCTGGGAAGTCTTGGCGGACAGGGAGAATCAGGCGCGCGCATCTGAAAAAGAGATGTCGCACGATCTCACGTATTGTCTCTTTTGAGAACAAGGACTTTGCTTTTGTTCTCTTCTTGTTAGCTGGAGAGAGCTACACACGGTAGAAAAAGTGCGGATACTTTGTCAGACGGCCTTCATGGAGGCTGCCAGATCGCTAGATCAAAATCGGGCCCGACCAGGGTCATTTCCTTATTGAGGTTGTTGGTGTTGGAAAGTTGCCATCAAAACCGTGGCTCTGCCATGTTTATCAAGATTCAGCCGAGTGGGGGCACTCTTCGTGGCGCTCGCTTGCGCACGCTTATGTGGCTGGCGTTTGTGGGATGTTGATCGAGGCTGAATCTATCTTTGATCGGTCGGTCTGATCCGTCGCAAGACGAAGCAGTCATGTTCGGAATGGTGGCCCGTGGGTGCAGTCAGTTCGATCATTGAGTTCAGAAGACGCAGCCAATCGCTCCAAGATTTGTCTCGACTAGGTCTCGAGGCATTAGCGATCGTGATACTCGATGACGCGGTTGTCATTATCACTTCAAACAGACAAGTCTGGATCACCTAGTAAGTTGTTCCGATGTGATGGGATCGCAGAAATGGCCATCGCAGAAATGATGCAGTCAGGAGAAATGCAATATTCTCGCGTTTGTCTCCCTGTGTTGCACAAGCATAGTCTCCCCGTTTTTTATGTAAGCATAGTCTCCCGTTCAGAACGTGAGCATATTCTCCCCGCTCCGAAAGTATAGGAAACGATCCGCACAAGCCTAACGGATGAAGGAGTGGATGTGGAGAATCCTGGACGGAAACTGGCCTGCAGATGAGATCAGAAAAAAGCAAAGACAGCGAGAGACCGAACCATAAAAGGCTCGAAGATGCAAATAAAAAATATCAACAGCAGCATTATGACAATCGGCTGAACATCGCTGAACAAACAGGATGTCCCACCGAAAGAAAGGAGTGGACGGGCAGTTGGCTTCTATGTCAAGATATTACTCGTCTGAGTCGTCTCAGGACCGCTCTGCAGTAAAGTGTCTCAAACACTGTAGACAAGGTAAGAAAGAATTGAAAGCATGCCGAGAGAAGGATCCGGACGAACAAGAGAAGCAGCAGAAAAAGAACTAACGACACACAGCCGGCCCCGAGCCGCCAAAAAGATAGGAAGCGATTCTGCAGGTAACTGCACCAGTGAGCCCACACAATTATCACAACGGAATGAGCCCCGAACAATTTCTTTAGACATTGCTTTTCGCATGTTAGCGGGGAATGGAACAGCGGCACTCTTTTCTGGCCGGGACAAACGGTATGTCGCCGGTAAATTCTGGCGAGATTTTCAGCAGACGGCAAACGGTAGTGAATCGCAGCGCACCCTGCAAGTAGAGAACCATACTACGCACGACTTCCTGGCATCTTGGCGCAGACCCTACTATCCCATGACGAGCATCCAGCTCTCTCGTCTCTCGTCGCCGGAATAAATTTGATGACGGAACGTGACAAAAAACAAGAGGATCTCTCGCGTTGACCAGTCCGACACCCTCGCACCCCGCGAGCTTGAAGTCGACGACCGTGAGGAGGATCGGCTGTAGATCGACCGTAGCGCAAACGCAGCACGGTCAGCGATCATGAGAGACACATATTGCGCGAATGCCGCCGCTCACTGCCATCAACGATGGTATGCCGGAGTAGCGGGGGCGGACGGAGTCAAATCGGATGGCGCGTGACAGACAGCGCAGACGACGGGAGAAAAGAACGACAGAAGCAATGCCGACGTCGAGACACACATGCACCACGATGCCGCAGCGGAGAGAGTAGCGCGTCCTGCAAACATAGTGGGTAGGAAGGGGGGAGGTAAAGGAATTTCAGAAGCCCCCTCTGCTGTTGGGCCAGCCTGAGTATATGCAGGTGATCAATTCGCTCCCCGACTTCTGACATGAAGCACCCCAACAGACTTGTGTGCCTGAATATGTTCTCTTGAGTGTAGATTTCGAGGCAGCACAGGACATCATCCGTTGCTCAACTATCCGAGGAGAGACATTCCCTATCTGGGTCAGGCCTTTCAATTTTGTGACTGTGTCTATCCTCATCGTCACATCACTCACGTGAGTGGTGACCCTCCGTGTCATCCCCAGTCTGGCGCCGTTCGGCTCGAGCCCTCATACACATATGCACCACCCACCATGTCTACTAACTCGAACCCGTCCTCCGCCTCATTCCCATCCTTCGATGCCTCGATTGCCTCCTTTTCACCGACACAGTTCCTCGAATTCATGAACAACCTCGTTGCCCACAACCTCGACACACCCTCGAAAACCCTTGAATCAAACAGCCTCCTATGGGTGACCGTCGTCTCAGGTCTTTCTGAGCAGTTCCTTGCATGTTTTCCCGCCCCAGATAAAACGCGCTGGCGCTGGCGTGCAATGCAAGAGAAGGTGCTGCTGGCGCAGGCAGCGTTGAAGATCGTGCGGTTCATCGCTCAGCGCATCCAGATAATCTTCTATGGCACTGATGGAGAGGTGCTCTCGACGAAGCTCTTTCTACGGCTGTTCAATTTCTGTCATGTCATGGACGGATGGCGCGACGTGTCGGAGGACCAGGGGATGGATATTGGGGATCTGCCGACGCCTCAGGCTCTGGCCGATGAAGCCTTGGAGACAACAGTGAAGCTGCTGAGGACCTTTGGAGGCATGGTCGCGCATCTCAGCGAGTCTAGCGAGCCATTGTGGAAGACGCTGCGGCACATTATGGAGAAATGTTTGCTTGCCGTTCGCAGTACGTGGTATTTCTCCGATCTTAACATGCCCTAAACGCTCTTTCAAAGACTCTATAGAACGAACAACGGTGTCGACGTTCCCGATGTCGATCAATCTCTTCGCCCTCCAGGAAGGCGCGACAGACAACAATGTACGCCTCTTCACTCTCGGACCAGACGGACTCCGTTGACGAGTCACAGGACATGGACGATAAATCGCTCACACTCACTCTCGACTCGGTCGATACTTTCCCGAACTTCCTCAGCACAACCCTCCACGTTGTCACACATACCGTCTGTCCAGCGGTCAAGACCCAATGGTTCCTCGGTGATCGCATCCGCCAATTGTCCTCGAGTGTGGCCTTTGCGTTTGAGTATTGCCTTTCTCCTCTCTGCCTCGCCGTAGAAGAGAAGAGAGCGGCCGCCCTCGTAAAACTCGCGGGACTGGCAACCCTCCTAGAGACCGTCCTCCCTGCCGAAAGTCGCGCCCCCGACCTGAGGCTGAGGATATTGAGGTATCGACTAGAGGAGCCGGCGCTGAGCGGATGGGAAGACGCGGATCGAGAGCTGACTAAGATGTCTGTCAAGCTGCCTTCGCGGCCAGATCTGGCTGAGGTATTGAGGTTGGAGGCGTGGGAGCAGATGCCGTCCAGTCTACAGGTGTGCACTTGATTCAGTCAAGTTCTCGGCTAATGAGAGACAAAGGACTTGGTAGTCGCATACATCAATCGATGTGTGCCCCAGATGACGCCGGATCTACTGCAGCTTACTCGACAACGGTTTGATGCTCTGCAGCTTAGCCAGGATCATACCTCGCTCCTGTATGCATTGGATGACAGGCTTCATGTCTTGAGCTCGGATACGGACGAGTCTGCAGACGGCGACTGGAGGAGCAAGGTCGCAGACACTGTGAAGGGAATAATCAAGCCTCTCGGACTGTATTGGATGGATGACGGGGACACTCTTCCCGAAGGAGAGTACGCGCAAAGAGCATTGGAGGAAGTGAGACGTCGTTTCGAAAGGTACGTTCTGATTGACGGAGCTCGTTCACTCACACTCTTGTCACAGACGACTCGAATTTCAGGACACTTCATCTCGTGTCATGGTCGCGGACAAGCTGTCTAGCCTTGTGTGCACTGTGTCCAAATGCGCAGGTTCAAGTCATTCCAAGCGACTCAAGCTGTCCGCTCTCCCGGCTGGACTGACGGCCGTTGCGCGATTGTTAGATGGCTCAACAGAAGAAGTGACCAGTGCAGTCCGGCGGCGTTCGTATGCTCTTCTCTCCAAAACTATCAGGCATCACGCTTCCACGGACAGAGACGGTTTGGATCACGCGGCGACGACGATCCTTCGAGGGCTGGATGACCCAGACAGGAGCGTGCGACTGAACGTAGGATCAGCTCTGGCTGCGTTGATCGAGTTATGTGCTCAAGAGGCCGACTCGGCTGATTGGTACTTGGTATTCTCTCGAGCATGTGAAGTGCTAGAATCCGCCACAATTGCAGTCAAGGAGACACTGATCATCACATTCGGGGTCATAGCCAGGTGCGTTTAGTTCATTCGAGGACCATCGTCATTTGCTCACTGGAAACAGGATCCAGAGCAGCCAAGTCTTGAGCCATGCATTGTGCATCTTGTTCAATGAAGTGGGCAGCTCTCACTTGGTTTTGCGTGGCACGGCCTGCATGCAAATTCTCAACGTCGCACAACATTACAACAAGACGGTCATGGCACTCACACTTCCTCACTTCGATCGCCTTGCACCATTGCTGGTCTCGCGAATCGGTACTCAGCCTCAGCTACTATACGAGGCGTCCCGGCTCATGCAGCACAACCCAGAAGCGTTTCTCTCGTTGACGCTGCCCAAAACGCTGCCCACGTTGTTCGGCCAGTGCGAAGTGAAGGTCATCCAGCTGATCGCCAAGAGCGTGCGGTCGAAACCTTCGTCGCTGTTTCTAAACCACGCAGCGGAGATCTTAGCCCACATATTCATGCTCCGGGGAGTGGACCAGACGCATAAAGCTATCGACTCTCTGCTGAACATTCTGATGGAATCGACAAATTTGGGAGAGATCGACGCGCAGAGTGTGGTCAAGAGCTCGATCGTGCAGTTGATTGCGGAGCTGGTGACAAATATGGGCGACGAGAATGCGGATACAGCTCAGTATGTGAGTCATCGTTCCTCCATACTGCTTGGGATAGTGCCTGACATCTCTAGGCCATCACCGCATTGAAGAAGGTTGAGAACATTATGGCACCCGAGAATCCCTCTCCGGACTTGTCGAACTTCCTCAAAGCCTATATGCTTGGTGTTATCACTTATGTCAGCGAACTTCTGCGCGACGGCCGGGGGAAGCTTTCTCTTGTAACGAAACGTAAGATCCTCAAGTGCATCGGGGTTCTGACGCAGGTCATCGGCCCTCCAATCAGCGCGATCGCCCCACAGGCGTGTAATCTAGACGTCTCGCTGTCTTATCTAATCTTTCTCGTCAGATCATGGCCACCTTCCAGTCCACTCTTGGTGTGCCCGAGCTCTCGGACGTCACTCTCGACAGCTGGTACACTTTCTTCCGCACTCCAGAACCCCACGACGTGGGGCCGCATGTCGGGCCTACCAGTGCTGCATTCGTCTCCGCCTGGTCCTCACTGTCGGCAACCGGACGGGATCTGGCGACCCGCACGCTGGAATACATCGTGATGAACATCGGTTCTCAGCTAGGAGCATACCTCGATGAGGTTGCGGACCTAACGCCCCCTGAGCTGGACAATGTCCGAGTCAAGCTCAAGGAGATGCGCTCAGAATGGTCGGCGCGAGAGGAGCTGCAGAAAATCTTGGATCGGGTCTGGAGCGACAATCTCACCATGGTCGCTCAGTCATTGAAAGAGCTGAAGACGTTTATGCTCTCGGATCACAAAGACTTTGTAACGAGCCTTGCGTCGGGTGATGTCTTTGATCCCCTTGTCGGCAAGATCTTGTCTGCCCTGTTTGCTGCTGCTTGTCGTGAGGGAGATGGGACTGAGGGTCTGAGGCTGCTGGCGTTTGAATGCATTGGGGGGATAGGTGCAGTGGATCCTGATCGATTTGAACTTGGACCCGGCGGCCCGGCGATGATTGTTCTGTCGAATTTCACGAACGAGGAGGATTCGATCGCGTTTGCGCTACATCTGGTCAAGGACCTGCTCGTAGGCGCCTTCCGCTCCACCAGCGATATCCGGTACCAGAGCCAACTTGCCTATTGTATCCAGGAGCTGTGCAAGTTCTGTCGCTTCACGCCTGCCCTGGTGTCGACCGGGAGCAGCTCAGGATCTACCTCCGTCCCCATCAAAGTGCGCAACCGATGGAACGCGCTGCCGAAACACGTTGTCGAGACCGCCGCACCGCTTCTCGAGGGTCGTTTCGCTGTTCCTGCGATAGCACCCATGCAAAGCATGGCACATCCGATTTACCCAGAGCATTCGACATATCGGGAGTGGATCCAGTGGTGGAGTCTACATTTGATCACCATCGCTTCGGGTGCGACTGCCCAGCGCATCTTTGGCGTCTTCCGGCAGGCTGTGAGAAACAAGGATGTCGTCGTCGCGCATCACTTGTTGCCGCATCTGGTCTTGAATATCCTGATTTCCGGGAAGGAGGACGACACGCAGAACATTCGCAAGGAGATCCTGGCTGTGCTAGAGGATCAGATTGACCCGGCCAGCACGTCCAGTGACGACAAGAAGTTACTCAGTGCGCAGGTGCGTTGAGGGTCAATCTCCCTACTGAGTCCCCCCTCTCATCACTGCAGGTCGTGTTCACGCTTCTTGATCATCTGAACAAGTGGGTGCGGCTGGTGCGCCAAGAGCTCGGCGCGAAAAAGTCCGAGAGGCGTGCGCGGGCAAGTGCGAACAGCAACGCGCAGATGTCCGAACAGCTCATGCGCGTCGACTCCATCCTATCGAGCATCGACGAGAACCTGATGGCCCGCGCTGCGCTCAAATGCAAGTCGTACGCTCGTTCGCTGATGAACTTTGAGCGCCAGATCATGACTCTGCGCCAGCGAGCGCCTGCAAGCAAAGATCTGCCGGGGTACTACGAGCGACTGCATGAGATATACTCCTTCATCGACGAGCCGGACGGGATGGAGGGTGTTTCGACGCTGATTCTCTCGCCCTCGCTCGAGCACCAGATCCGGGAGCACGAGAGCACCGGCCGGTGGACATCGGCGCAGAGCTGCTGGGAAGTTCGGCTGCAGCAAGCACCGGACAGCTTGGAGTACCAT